CTCTACTTTCCCGGTCAATTTTGTTAACGGCTTGGCGATCAACCCAAAGCCTTCGATGAATCTTCTATAGAAGTTTACGAAACCCAAGAATGCTTGTACTTCCTTTTTGGATTTGCATTCTGGCCATTCCATAATTCCTTTTACTTTAACTGGATCCATGCGGATTTCATTTTCTGAAATGATGAGACCTAAGTACTCTGTCGAGGTCTCTTCGAAATCGCATTTTTCGGGTTTCAAGTAAAAGTTGTTCTTCCTTAAGATGTCTAACACTCTGCGCGTCATTGCGCGGTGTTCTTCAATCGTTCTTGTGAAGATCATGATGTCGTCGAGGTATATTACTACCTTTCCGTCATCAATCAAATCTTTAAACAGCGCATTCATCATCGTTTGAAATGTTGCTGGTGAATTCGTGAGTCCGAAGAACATCACTAACGGTTCAAAGAGCCCCCTATTCGTTCTGAAGGCTGCTTTGTGTTCATCTCCATCCTTGATACGGATATTGTTGTATCCCCATCTGATATCTAACTTTGTAAAGTATTTCGCGCCTCTGAGCTTGTCTACAAGTTCATTTATCAGAGGTAGCGGGTATCTATTCTTGATGGTGATATCATTCAATCTCCGGTAGTCTTGGACAGGTCTAAGTTTTCCATCTTTCTTTTTGATGAAGAAGAACGGTGATGCGAATTGTGATTTGGAAGGTCTAATTCTTCCTGATTCAAGGTTTTTGTTTATGAACGCATCTAGTTGTTCTTGTTCTCCTAAAGCTAATGGATAACATTTGCAGTCCAGAGTGTGATCGCCTGGGATGAGTTCTATGGCATGATCCCATTGGCGTCTCTCTGGCAGTGCATCGAATGACTCCTTATCGAATACGTCTTTGTAATCGTGGAGATGTTTTGGAACTATTTTTTCGAATCCTCCTTCTTTCTGATCTTTACCAGCGGCTTCGGCGAGCTTCTGAGCTGTTGTGCCTTGTGCCCTAATGTGGTAGTAATGATCGTCAATAGAAGTATCTTCATAGTTCATTAGATTCACTTGGATCAGCTGATCCCCATCTGAGCGATCTACTTCCGAAAAGTATGTGTCAGGGTCTTCTTCCGGATCAAGGAAGTCAACCTGTCGTTTACATTCTTTCGGGCATCTATCAAAGTTCAACTCCGACTTTTTCCAATCTATAGTGGGATTGTGCTTCGTTAACCACTCATGTCCGAGGAACATGCGTCCACTCCCTAAGCTTGTTACGGCGAAGTGAATGTTTTCTTCGTGGTCTCCTATGCTCATCCGTAGTTCTATAAATTCTTTGATAGCACCGTCTTTGTTAAGCGTGCCATCAGCATTGTATACTGGAATTGGTCTCGGTATCTTCTTTGTTTCATATTTTTGTTCTTTTACGAACGTAGAGTCTATGCAACTCCCCGTACATCCACTATCTAGGAGAGCTTCGATCGTCGTTGATCGATTTGTGTCAAGAGTTGTAAGTCTGCAAGAAATGTTCATCTGGTTTCCTTGCGTTCCCCTAATGTACTTTTTCGGGGTGTGTAACTCTAATAGAGCAAGTTCTGCTTCGTGCAGTGTTAATGCATTCAGCTCTCGTATTGTCTCTATTGTGACTTCTCTACTTCTTTTTTGGTGCGTCCAGATATTGAGAATACCAATGGATCTTTCTTCCTTTTGGTCTCGTAATCTTTCTGCAACCCAAAGTGGCGTCCATGCCGCTGTCAGCCTTTGTCTCTCTTTGTGGTCTAGGTTTTTATTAGAGGTGTTCCTGACCTCTTTGGAACTGGTCGAACCATCAGTTACATCAGTGCTTCCCAATTGAGTCACTGCTTTCTGTGGTTCCGTTGTTTCCAATGAAGTGCTACCCGATTGAGTCACTTCCTTCACAAATTCTTTTACTGCGCTTTTCTCTTTCGAGCGCGCCGTGATCTTTTCAGAACTGGTCGAACCATCAGTTACATCAGTGCTTCCCAATTGAGTCACTGCTTTCTGTGGTTCTGTTGTTTCTGAAGTTTTAGGGATCTTTTTAACCCGTTCCCTGTTCAGGTTCACATCTCTTTTTGTTTCTTTCTCTTTTAATCTCAGATCTGCTGCGTCTTTGGCCAATGCAATATCATTTTCATGATCTGTACTAATACAACTCGTGGTAGACGGCAGACAAGAATCTTCGATCGAAAGAGAGGAGAAACTATTTACAAAACTTTTGTCCTTAGGCGCAGCCGGTTGATGTGTTACCGCTGGCCTCTTCAAAAACCCTGGAGGACTTTTGCTCTTTCTTCTGCAGTCATCTTCTGCAGGAATTCTCTTACGTTAAACTGAGGCTTTGCTTGCGCCTCTTTCTTGCATTCGAAGGACCAATGTCCCTTTTCACCGCACCGGTAGCAAAGTCCCTTCTGTCGGTACTCTGCTTTGTCGACCTTCATGGGGTCACCGGATTGGGTATATAGGTACCCGGTTGCATCCTTCTTTCTCTCGACCTTTGGTTCGGTCGTCTTTCCTCCTCCGTCTTGCTTCTTTCTCTCCGTACTCCTGAAGCTCTCTTTCTCCGCCTCTCGATGACGCCATAAGTAGTCAACGCGGATCAGTTCCTTCTTCCACTCTTCATAGTTGGCCGGCTCTCGGCCGCCGTATATCACCTGATTGACCAGGGGTTCGTTCATATTCCTACGTAAAAGTGAAATGAGGAAATCCTCATTGGCTGCTTGGAGGTAACTAGCCTCCCTTCTCAGTTCTTCGAAATGTTTGAAGTGCTTCTCGGCCGTGTTCTTTCCTTGCCGCAAGATCATAATGTCGTTGCGGGCGGCGAGTTGCTCGTGAACGTTTTTGAACCGAGTCTCCATCTTTGTAGCGAACCACTCAAAATTCTCGTAAGTGGTTTTGATGCTTTCTCCTCGCATCCTTTTCTCCATCTTCGTCTCCATCCACTCTGTTCTGAAAGCAGCTGCTGCTCCTCCTGTCATGAAAGAAAGCACGTAAGCGATCTTTCTTCTTTCATCCGCGAAATATTCTTCGTCATCTTCAAAATTAAGCATCAAGGCTTCGCGGAAAGCCTTATACTTTTTTCGGTCTCCATCAAAGTTCTCAGGCTTCTGGAGAGCCGTTCTGGTTCTGTCTACGCGCTTCGGCTGCGTAGCGGGTGGCGGCGGTGCGGATGCGGCTGGAGCGGACGTAGAAGTATTCGACGTAGCTAACCTCAGCTTGGCTAGCAATTCGTCTACTTCTTCTTTGGCCTCTTTCAGCTGCGTTTCGTATAATTTGTGGAGCCTCCTCTGCTCCTGCTCTATCCTGGTCTGAACGTACTGTTCCAGTCCAGCTTCCTGCGATGTCGGGGGTTGGGGTTCTAAAGGCGGGAGCGCGTCCGACAATTCTCCCATCCCCATTTCTGGTGTGTCCCGCTCTTCGCGCGGACCTCGCCACTCTCCGAATCCTGCCGTCGTCATGTTCTGGGTAGGGGGTGTGGTAACGTGTTCTGATCGGTTCTATCTCTGGGAATGTAAAATAGATTTCCCAGGCTATTCTGTTCTCGGAATGGAAGCGTTGTTCTGCTAACCACTCTTCGAAATCACCAGGTTGCATATACGAGAGTTCCCCGATGATAAATCGGATCAACACTTTCTCGAATAAGTTCAACCAGACTATCTCTCTCTTTGAGTCAAGCGGTTCCTCTTCTGTCCTGCACTGACTATGTACGTAACTAATCTAATCTGTGATATCGGTGTTCTAATTGTATAGTATCTGAGGTCCGAACGGTTGTCTCAGAGGTACCCAGCGAATAACCGCGTGCAGGTCTTTTCCGACTGGCGGACTCAAATGAGCGGCCTGGTCAGAAGCGTACGGAAGTTACTTTAAACTAAGTAATACCTATTGGGCTCCACGCCGTCAAGGGTTCTAGCTACTGGGTTGGAAGGGGGAGTGAGAGGGATGTTAACAAACAACTCTGTGGGTGAGACGTTGGCAGGAAAAAATGATGTGATGGTGTCGGGTCGGGTGATAGGTGTAGTGATGATAGTTTTTGTGAGGTGAACGTATAGTTTGGCAATGCCAAAGAGTATGAGTGCGATGAGGGGGAATAGGGTGATGATAAGAATAGCTATGATTTTGCTCATCAACAGGTGTCGTTTCCAAGTTGTAGATTGTGTAAAGACCCTAGCTGTATGCCGGTGACCCGAGCAGCGTAGGACTTAAATCTCAACAAGTGTTCAGACAAGCAAGTATAAAAGAGTAAATCTACAACTGGGGTATGTACATGGATATTGTGCTAGTTATATAGGAAGGAGCATGAGGCTACGGTGAGGTATGACGTAGCGTATTGGTAACTAACATGTGTATGTAGTGAGGCTGATTGGTAATGTGTATTACTAATAGATCACGTGATACTTGATAAGATTAGATCAGAGAGAGATTAGATAAGGTGAAACAAGAGTCTCTATCTCTCGATTAGATAAGAAAGCTGAGTCAGATGGGTACGATCGTGACAGGTGCTTTGCTATAAAGTAAGTGGTTATTTTTCCCAGTAGCAGCTTATACTGACATCCATCGTACAAGTATGCGAAATGTTGCTCGTTGGCTGAATCTCAAACATTTTGCAGATGTAACTACAGTAGATTATGCTGACGGCCAAGTCTTTTTTGATATACTAAAGGTATGCTCAACTATGTACATTCTTTGGGGACATACACTTACTTCTTATGTTAGTGTATTCTTCCATGTGTAGTTCAGCTCCTGCCAAGTGATTCTTCGCTTGTGCACTGTTTGCGAGCCTATGCACAATATAGGCTTACAATAGAATGTAGGTGCATAACCAAGGACCGGTTGCAAAGACTACAACAGTACATATTTGAATATAAGAAGGGCTGTAATGTGTGTTTGAACATTTTCTTTGGCATATGATGTTAACTTGCCATTTTTATAAGCTCGTCTCTCATGCATATAAGAAAAATTTTGATTTTCCAAAACAGCATGCCAGTAGCCATAGTGTCGACAACATCCAGAAAAAGGGGACAATGGACAATTACACAACTCAAGTAGGAGAAGGATTTCATCAAGAGGTCCGTGAGGCGTACAAGCAGACAAATTGCAAGAACACTGACCCACAAGTATGTAACTCATCTAAATCTTTCTATTCCAGTGGATATCTTATTGTAAATTATAGATGGCCCGGATTGATGAAAACCAGGAGGCCATTGCCCGCATACAGATGCTTGTTGACAATAGCAATTTGGAGGAGGCTCAATTTCAAGACCATGAGACTCACTCATCCCAGTACGGCTCAGCAAATCCAACAAACCTCGCTGAAGACCACTACAAGTTTGGTTCACCTACAAAATTCTGCAACACAATGACACTGGAGGCAGATCGGGGATGGCGGGGCTTCAATAGGATGGCACGGAGATTTTTTGCTGCAGAAGTTGCAGGTGCTAAAGTCGGAGAGGGGCCAATCAAAGTAAGCTGTTGTTTATTGTGGTCTGACTTTTCTGACCAATAGCTTTTCGCAGATTTTACCATATCTGTTACGATAACACAATTTTTGGACCTTTCCTTTAATTTTCATTCTCCGCTTTAACCCCTTTACTATAGTTCACACTCCGTGCCATGCGGCACTTTCCTTTTTCGTTCTAACTCCACCTTCTTGCGCAGTGCTGCCATTATTCTTCTTTTAGACACAAACTCTCTCACACAGTGGAGCTGGTCACACGGGCTGCGCCCTCTGACATCATCAGCCACTGCTTTTATCAACTGTACAGTACATAGGTACAAACACTCTGTATTAGTATAAAAACCCCAATAGGTCAAGGAGACTCCTCAGTGAGTCCTTCCCCATGTATTGCTCCTGTATATATACTAAAATACATGAGGTACTGTACAGTTGTAAATAAAGTTTAAAGTCCGATGTCTAGCATGTGACTGGTCACATGATGAGTCTAGACACTGGTCAGGTAATGTGTCACATGACTGGTCATGTGACTATGAAAAGTCGAAAATGTAAAGTAAAGTAAATGGTCACATGACTGGTCATGTGACTTGGAAAATAAAAGTAGAAGTACAAAAGTGAAGCGTAAGTAGGTGCTGGTATGTCAATTGTAACAGGATGGAGGGCTGCGACATCTTATGATGCAACCCTTTGTTCAACCAAGAGATGCGCTATGATTCTGTGTTAGTCAACACAGACACATCATTCCCTACGCCTGCACGGCTTACCGGGATATTTCAATGTCATGTTGACTCGGGAACATATGATGTTGTTCTTGTGAAGATGTTCAAGACCTGTAATAGCAAGCTTAGAACAAAATGGATGGGTGCTTGCCTTTACGAAGAAGCAGAAAACAAGTTGATTCTACCAAAATATCTTATTTAGGGAGCCCATATGATACGAGCATTTGATTTGAAAGAGGGCCGTTTTTTTTTGAATGACACTATAGATACAGACATGTTCTTACGCTTTGTCAATTAACCCTGTATTCTTTATCATGTACCACTGACACTTTAAACATTGCCTGTCGCATCCGCCAGTGGGATATGTTTGTATAATCTGATGAAAACCTATTCAACATGACCAATCCTACCGGTAGTCATTATTTTCTGAAGCTTTCTGATGAACTTACAGGACCTTATCAACCCCTTCTCAGGTTTGGCGCAAATCTGATCAAACATAATATGCTCTGATCAGTTCCTCGACGAATCGGAGCTGTTTCTGATAAGGTCGTCGGGATGAATCATATTGCGTCAGCTGACGCAAGGCCTGATAAGTTAAAAGTGATTTTTCCGACAGACGGTCTCAAGCTCAACAACTGGTGAGTTATTCAACTTCTCCCCAGACCAATTGCCTATTGTCCAGTATAAGATCAGGAACGACTGTCTTCCTGTCAATACGGTCTGCTTATAGGAGACTAACTGTTTGCAACAAAAGCCACAATATTCCAATTATGGGCCAAATAAAAGCTGTCTTCAGGCTTCCATTCGTCCGCGTCAACACCCCAAGTCCTAAACAAAATGTCTCTGCCAGCATCCCTAACCTCCATTCAAGGCGTTGATTGATATTAACCTGCTGCCGCTCGATACACAGTGACTTCATCCGCTGAATTATGCAGCGAATTCTACTAACAGCTGCATTTTCTTGTCAGGGCAATGGTTTACATAGCTGGGGGTTACATCATGTCCTACGAACATGCGGAGGCCTGGGCCCAGAAAAAATTTCCAGACTTCACCTTTGGGAGTCCAAGCTCCCTTGCCGAGACAATTCGTAAACGTCTCAACAAAGATCTGTTCAAAATCCCTTGGACCTTAGCCGTTCGATACCAAAATCAGGACACGATATTATTTGTTACGAGCCAACATCGCAACAAAAGACTGTCACCCTACACTCGCAAGAAATTTGCCGAGGACGACCGTGTGAAACTCATTAAACACTCCTTGTTTGGTGGTATGGAGGGCGAGCTTGAATTCCTCAAGGACCTCAAATTTGTGACCATTCCCGATCCTTACACAACTGGCCTCCCGTGAGTTTCTCGCTCCATCAATGTTGGTGATTGTCAAATAATTCCTCTTCATAGCTAAGATCTGGGGCACCGCGATGTGCTGCTTGCCTACTGGCGACTGCAACGCAATCAATATGTGTATGGGATTTTCCTGTATTTTAATGAAGTGAATTCTCTTGTACAGTTAGTGTATAGTATCCGATTGTCTTAGCACTAGGACTGTTGGATATAGTTCCGGTGAAGAAATACTGTACAATTTAGTCATGAAGTAGACGATAATGAAGAACAGACGATCCAATGTACATCTGTGGATAAAGGAGAGGCAATACCAGAACTCCCCCTGGGACAGGATGTCGCTGCATTGGACTTGCCAGGTGACACTATCAAGGTCGCTCGAGCCCACACGTCCCATGAAAGCCCTACATCTGCGTCACTAGGTCCTTCCCATGACGAACGAACCCCACAGTTTTTAGTTCCCGGAAGAGAAAGGAAGAGAAAAAGATGGCTTGCTCAAAAGGTAGTACAAGGATTTGCATTGATAGGGAAAACGATGTTTTGCATCAGGTAGTAGATTAGGATAGTATTTGGTACCCCAATCGATACCCACCCTCCAAACCTAGGTCACTTTCACTCGTCCAAAAAGCATCTTCGAGCGCAATAAATGTAATTTCTAACATCCAATAGGTACTTCCCACACTCATATAAATGATAACTATAAGACCATACTGATTGCGATGGACCGGTCCATTAAACCTGCATCTTGGCCTACGTGCTCTTCAAGCCTCCACCAGCCATGAACTGCTCAAACATCTGCGACGCCGCCTGTCCATACGCCAGACTACCATAATTGTATGCAGCCACTTCGTGTCCCGCGCCGTATATCCTCACATACGAGAATGTATCCGCATTCTTGTATTGGCCCGTCGTCTGGCCTTGGACGGTGTAGGGCGTGAAAGACTGCTGTGAGAAGAGTCCAGATTGGGTCGTGTTAAGGCTATTCACCATAGCCTCGACGCCGTAGTGGTTGAGGATGTAGTCAACTTCACCGTCAAAGACGAGGACGCGCACACCACTGTTAATGACAGTCTCCAAGTCAGGTTTCGACGTGCGCATCCAGTCTCCAGTCGCAGCAAAGTTGCTGTACACGTCATCGTTCGTCATTTGCCATGTCGCTTGTGCACCTATGGTGGACTGGATGCCGCCGAGGTAGTTGGTGATGTCGGGTGGGTAGGGGTCGGGGTTCTGTGCGAGGACGTAGTATACCTGTAAAAGATTTGGATGGTGAGCGAGATGTAGAGGTGAGGATAGGTGATGATGCGTACATCGTAGTTACCGCTCAACGGTCCCAAAACATAGTTGTTGCAGTAGTCTTGGGTGCTGGAGCAGACCGAGTTTGATCCTGCATTGTTGCAGGCAGTGATCTACGAATTCAAGACACAGTCAGCTCGATTGTTATTGAACAACTCCCATGACGAATATACGAACCTGATCGAGACAGCCGCCACTCTGAGTTAATGATTGGTTGGCGGAGTCAAGGGTGGAAGAGTCGACCAATGGGTAGAATGGGTTGTTGGCAGCATATTCGACGTATCCTGGGTATTGAGTGATGGGGTCCTAGAGAGATTGATGAGTTAGAGATTGACATTGTCATGATCGGTGTACATACTGTCAAGCCATCACCGACGGCAAGAACCTTTAGAGGAAGGGTGATGCCAGAGACAGAGCCCTTTGCGATAGCCTGATTCTGGGAAAGGAAATACCTGTAATACGTGATAAGTCTTTTCCCTCGCATCGACACATCGTCTTTGCACTCACGCAGCAAACGTAGGCCCGTAATGACCGCCATATGACTCAGTCCAGATGGCCAAATCCCGGCCCTGGTACTTCTTATACCTCGAGTCGGCCAACCAGATTTGCAAGAAGCTCCACACATCCTGCGCGGCTTCCTCCGACGTACCAACGTCCAGAGTACCGTACGAAAAGCCGACACCGACGGGTTGGTCGATGTACATCACGTTGGCGTTGTTGTTCCAAGAGTAAGGGTTGAGGTCGACGGTTGTGGTGTCGTTGTTAATGCGGCAGGGGCCGTGTTCTTGGAAGAGACCGATCATGCTGGAGCTTCCAGGCTGGAGAGTGGTGAGATGTTAGCATGAGCAAGAAAGCATGGATGGAAGGTACTCACCCCTCCATTGAACCAAAGCACTAGGGGTGCGGTGTCGGAGTTGTTGCGAGCCTCAAAGAACCAGAACCTATGACAACAAATATCAGTGTGAAGTTCGTACATGAATAACTCGCCTTACCATAAGCTCTTGTCAGATGTAAGGTCACCGTAACCCGCAGCTTGGTATACATTAGGAGTCGTTTCTTTCACCAGTATTGTTACTAGATGCATACGAACAAGATAACGAAAGACGTACCACAGATACCAGAGTTCTCAGTCACGCGCAATGTGCCTGCGGTGGGCGTCGAAGAGATGGCACCTGTCGTTCCAGTGGCCTCTCTGTACAGAGAACTGGCCATAGTGGCAGCGCTGTTAACACCTCCCGGTACGCCATTGACGACTGGAATTTGGCTAGCAAATGCACCTGAAAGGTGGACAGCCCCAAGGAGCGCTGTCGCGAAGACGGCGGAGTACATTGTGGTGGTTGAACCGTGACTGATCAGAGGAAAGGAATGCAAGGCTTTATAGTGAGTTTAGGCATACAAGAAGCGTCGCGAGGGCGTGTGGTACTCCCGGAGAAAATCAGATGTAACGTAGCTATGCCACTCGCGCAGTTGGATTCTATCTTGTACAGGTCATGCTGTAGAGCTAAGCATCATATGGTCCGTCTGATCCCGATAGGCGAAGGTGCTACGAGGATTTTAGTGCACTGCAAGCAAAGCTTTTATGTATTGCTTCACGTACGAAAGGCTGAGCATGTCCAGTATTATGTACTCGCCAGAGACATGTCCTTTCTTGTGCTGTCTCTTATAACGAAGCACTCTGCCTTGGATAGCTTGCACAAGTCGAAAATCCTTGATCGGGCAACACATGGTGACATTCCACAAACGGAAAGTCTGCAATCGCGCCAAGCCAGAATACAAAGGCCTCCTCATTCAAGCTCTTCCATTGTCTGCGACGTTTCAGTAGAGCAACGGTATTATTTCTCAAACAGTTGTTTCTCGAGTATTCCAGCACCAAAACACCATCTGCACCTCGCTTTCGTGCCAGTAAATACAGACGTCAAATTTTCACGTTCCCACTGTATGCATGGTAGCTTCCCATGTCAAACCTGTCGAGAGCACATCGTCTTGCAAACAGCTGATTCAAATGACAGGATCTGAGATAAAGTCTTAGTACACGCTCTATATTGACCATGCATGTAGAAGCAAGTCCCACCTTCGACCGGTTGAGTATTCCCTTGCCCCCCTCGTCCCGTCGTATCATAGTCTATGGGAATCTCATCTGCACTGCACACTCGAAGCGTTCTGACCAGGGATATACTCACCCGCTGGATTCCTTGTCGCGGCACCAGCCCTCTTGTTCGCTCCAGGTTGTTTCGAGTCCCCTTTCGACAGCCTCTCTGCTTCTCTCTTTGTCAGCTCGTCATCGGGAATTTTCTGGATGGCTTCAGGAGGGAAAGATTCTACGGGCTTGTTACCAACGAAATTCTGTCTGGCTGCCATGACGGGGATTTATGTGTATTGTTGAAGTGCATAATTTGATGTGAGTCTTTATAACTGGGAGGTCTGGAGAATACCTCATACCCTGAATCATGTCTGACATCATCGGTGCCACTTTTGTCTAAAGCATACTCACATTCAATTCAAGCCTTAGACCGTGTCCACTACAGACTTGACGACATACACTTTGGCTGGTCCACTCCCCCAAGGCTCTATCTCGGCTATAGGTATATTCAACGTCTATCATTTCTAACTTACTGTTTGCCGTGTCCAAAATTATTTTCTGGCCAGCAACACCCGTTTATTCAAATCCGGGATCTAAGGACGGTATATGTATACAGATCACAAAGTCTACCATTCGAATATTCCCTCGATGGCCTTGACCCATGGTATCGCAGACTTGTCAGTAAATTCCTTCAGTTCTGAGATGGTTTCTATCTTTGCAGGAAAAGATAGCTCCCTACTGGAGATGGAATCAGCGCCAGCCCCTTTATTCGTTCCAGGCCCTTTCGATGCTCCTTTCAACTCATTCACCACTTCTTCTTTCATCATTCCCTCGACTTCGCGTGCTTAGCCCAATTCTGTTTACCCCCACGACCTTGGTTGGGCGCATGGTGGGTGTCAGTGCCAAAACAATGCTGTCGAAAGTTATCGATCTTGTTTTTATGCTCTTGGGATTCCACAATATATTTTATTCTATTGTATTCAAAGAGTCATATCTGACATCATCCAAGGGTTGAAGGTGAACGAGGTTTGTCTCCTATAACTTCAGTGTCAGACCGTCTTTAGTCGCCAGTCACTCAAGCTGATCCTCCACGTTCAAACCGTTATTCCAGGTATGTATAATCTTATGTGTTGAAATATGATGAATTATCTAGTGAAATGGCCAGAGCATAGCGAACGCTACAGCAATGGCTACTGTTGCCTTAGCTGGCCTGCTCCGCGCCATGGCCATCAACACCCACTTTCGGTCCCCTCCTTTTCAACACGTCCTGCACACCATATATCGCCGATCTGTCCACACCTCCGACATCGCAGCCCAGATCGCTAGGAATGCAAAGGGCGATATCACAGACGGAACATCAGCACAGGAAAAAATCAAGATATACGCAGATGGATCTGGGATAGGTGGGGGGATAGGAGCGGCAGCTGTGATGCTCCGCTCAGGACGGAAAGCCCAGGTTCTGCGGTACTACCTCGGCTCGGCTCAGGATCACACGGCTCACGATGGCGAAATGGCTGGGATGCTGCTAGCGACTGAGTTGGCGCTTCGGGCTAAAGTCGAGGTGCGGGGACGAGGAGTGGCCATCTCGATCAACGTCGATGATCAGCAAGTGATGCGTGACCTTGAGTCGTTTGAGTCTCAGGGTGGGAAATACACCTCGGATACGCTCCGAATAGCTCTTCGGCGCATACGAAGAAATAGCGATATAGTCGTAAGATGGGTCCCAGGTCATGCAGGAGTTGATGGGAACGTAAGAGCGGACAAGGAGGCGAAGAAAGCTGCTCGTGGTCATTTCAGTCATGATCTGCCTGATTTCATGCGACCGAAAGAATCTCAAAAATGACTGCTTATCACGGAGCAAGTAGACTGTTAAACAATTGATTCAATATGGACATACCTTGTGTGTATCATTTCTGTATGTGAAAGCTGTTACTTGTATGAATCCGTTGGACGTATTTTGTTTTCCGTTGAAGCCATATCGTACCAGAGTCATAACCACCTCTGCATACTTAGGACAGTTTGAATTCGAAAGTGTTTTGTGGTGCATAGTTCATTGCAATTATGAACTGGTGCCTCCGACTCTACGACTTGCAATGATATATGTTTTTGATTTGACGTTCTACGACAGATAAATGCAGGGGTATAGGTATACAAGATGACCAAAAGTGGTTTCAAACAGTGTGCAGACCTGCGCGCATGAAAATGAAAATATAGATACAGAAAACAAAAGTATCGAAATACCTGCTCGATAGAGGTGAAACGAAACGAAAAGAACGCCAAAAAAGAAAAAAGAAATCACAGCCAGTGTGTTGACCACAAAAAGCCAAATGGCTCCATCAGAAGAAAAGACCTGCGCGCTTGACCTTGTGGGTCATCCTCTTCTTTCTACTGCTAGTACCGTTCGAGGCGTTTCCAAAGATGTCATTTTGAGCACCTATTATATACCAATAACGTCATCCAACGACACGTGCAAGAGAAAGGAAAAATAACCACGAACCATCTTTGAATCCACATTTGGAATTGTACGCAGGAGACTTGTGGTCTCCCGCGAGGTCATACCCGGTGACCGCGATATTGTTACCCTCAGCTTGGTTCCAGACCATGACCTGCTTTGCCCCCTGCACACACTGCGACTGGTCCTCTTCGCACCAGACAGGCGGCTTGGGAGCTGCGACGGGCGTAGTGGAAGTGGCGTTAGTGACCATGCATTTGTGGCCATGCATGTACATGTTAGGCTCGCCACAACCATTGGGGATCTATCATCAAACCAGATCCGGATGAGTTCACGAGGTTAGTATTGAAATATACTAGTAGTTATGGACGTACCCAGTTCCACTGAAATGCGTGTTGTCAGAATATGAAAAGGGATGTAAAGAATGACTTGGACACTTACGGCACAGATGCATCCAGCCTCTGGGCATGCAGGCATGTTAGCAGGGACATCATATGAAGTCACACGTTTCCATGGCGTGCTTCATAAGGCAAAGGAAGACTGTCAGTCCAATACTGTAAATGGAGGATGACAGCACTCACTTGTAACGGACGCTGAAAACTACAAGGTTGTCGGGCGTAACTTGACTGATGTCAGACTACACGAAGCTCAGCCATCATGTATCCACGATCTGGGTGGAAACCATACCACGTAAGCTATGGCAAAAGCAGTTCCAGCTGCCATCGACTGATTTTGGGTATGCACTAGGTAACGTGAGTCTTTAGTGCACTATAGGTAGAAACCACGACTCAACTCACTGTTGGGATTGCGTATGCAGCCACTAGGAGAAAGTGGAGCACCAGCGAGATTTGTGATGCTGTAATCTTCGGGGTGGTTCTGACCATCGGGCCACTCGGAAGTATGTTTTCCGCCATCAGTAAGCGTTGTAAGACCTTGGTTTGAAGCGACTTCGACGGTGAAGCTCCCGCCCGCGGGGCTACAAACGCAAGATAAATGGTTAGAACATTGATTCATGTAGTAAAATAAACGGAAGGTGTTTACAGCTCAAGGAAGTCTCCTGGGGCAGGAGGAAACTCGTCACACTGTATTATGATTTGTTAGAAGGGATAAGAAGAGGTAAGCATGGGACGTAGGACAGACCTTGTTGACGTGATGGAACCAGTAGTCGGATTGCTGCAAGTTCCATAGCGGGGTGACGGGATCACCGCTGTTCACGTCTGGCTGTCCAGCAACAGTACCCTACATTCAAAAGACTTAGTGAGGGGGATGGCTTAGTGCAAGACACGGCGTACATTGAGGCAGTACATGCCCTTGTTAAAGGCAGCCAAATGAGCGACGGTCAACCTAGCGAGAAAAATAGGAACGGGGAGCAGAGCAAGTGCAGAACGCATGGTGAAAGTGGATGCGAACGGATTCGTTAAAGTAAAGGAATGTTGAGTTGTAGGACGTGAATATCAGCCCGAGGCAAAGATTGCCCAGCGTGTAGGAAAGGAATGGAAAAGACAGGCGTCGAAAGAAAGCTAAGGCCTTGGATTTGTGGGCGTTTGCCTTTTCGCATATTTCTGCTCCGACAGACTTAAAACCTGCGAAAATGATAAGATTTGGAGATCGAATCTCGGATGGACGTTTCAGTGGAGCAACGACTTACAACCATATCCACATTTGGTAATTCGTTTACGATGGCTTTCGGGTGAGATAACATGGTCAGCGTCGAGGGCGCTGTTACAGAAATTCTACCAACCTCGCTGTTAGAGATCTTTGAAGTACAGGAAGTGACTGAAATACTTTGTCGCTCTAGCTTTTTTTGTGGGGAAAGTACAGTACAGCTCTCATACTGCAGACTTGTAATATTGTCCAATTGGAGACTTGATAAACTCACCTTGGCGTCACTGAACAATTGCCCGTGTAACATCCATACGTCAAGAATGTATTCCAGTGATCCGAACCCAAAAATATGATCTCACCAGGCCGAAACGGTTCAAAATCCATCACCTTGGATACAACGACGCCTCACTTCACTTGCTTGTTCACACCATCACCTTTGAGCCGTCAGTTTCTTTCTTAAAGCGGGCTATCTGACGCCGAGCTTGATTGAAAGTTGCCAAAGATAAGGAAACCAGTTTTCCAAAAGTTTCGCTCCCCGTTGTCCACGTTGTACTCGTATCTCACCATTCATAGGTATCCACGAGGAACTCTGGGGGATTCTGGAGACTAACACAATTTAAGGGATATTCCCGTCGTTGGCATATGAATCCTCCATTGTGCATCAATCTCCGTCCAGGGTGTGATGTTGCTTGCGCAGCCAGAGAGCATCGAGCTTTCCATGACGAGCCAATGAGTTGGCTCCCGATGCCTTCTCAGTGCTGCGTTTCCACAGCAATCATGCTCCAGCAAATCCCAGAATGAGAAGAACGCATGGATCGAACTGATAAGACTTGCCTTGGCATTCATACCGTTCGATCGAAGCAAAGCTCATCTGCAATACTCTGCGATTGGATTTTGGATCGGCTTTTCAGGTGTTTCTAACACGTGCAATGCGCAGATGGAAGCCCTGTCCGTTGTATGACTGCTAAAATGCCAGGGCATCGTTTGGATAGGCTTGAGACGATAACATAACAGCGACGTCCGTCGTAGCTTTGGAGGACAAAACACATAGAGCACTGTACTGTAACAAGTGGGCCCGTTAGCCGACCCAAGAGTCTCAGCGAACAAGGGTACTCCTTCTCTAGTTTAGAGAGTAGGGCGAGAGACGCGCATGTGGGGAGCAATTATGACCTCGATGGCAGCCAGCCGCTTCGAGATCTTCCTTCTTATTGAATCTTAGAGCTTCTGCAAGCCATCTCGATCCCTGGATAGTGAGCGGCAAATCGGAAGAAAAGAGGGAAGTTGGGATAGTTCTCACCTCTATACCGCCAGTTTGTTGTGATTGAATGGGTCCGTCTCTGTGGAGGTAAAAGCGAGGCAGATACGCAAGATACCAGACAAAACAGCCTGTGCATACAGCTGACAGCTATATCAACACACGGGAGTTCCTTTGAACATCATTCACGCTTTCTGAGCTTCGCAGTAATAGTGCACACAATTGTTGTTCGGTCTAGCCCTCGAGATATAATTGGGAGAAGATAGAAATATGGCAAAAAGCAAATCATTACTCGTCCCAAAGATCAGGCCATTCTAAATGTATAGCTAGATGTCTAGAGTCTGGGTGTAGACGCCCGCTGGTCGCAACATTGAAAGAAAGCCGCGAACAACGGTCGCTTGCAGAGTGGCTCCACTTTTCAGTGTTGTACCTTTCCACGAAAAAATAAATATCACCTGCTTGACGTCTATGTCCTAAACCTACACTTTCTGTTACTCGCTTTCTCGCCTTTTTTATTTCTTGTAGCATCTCTATCAGCAGCAACCAATATGTCGTCCACTCACTACGATGTCCTCATCGTTGGCGCTGGCATTGCTGGCTCATCAATGGCCCATGCCTTGTCCACAATCACTTCTAAAAGTCGCGACACACCACTCAAGATAGCTCTTCTCGAGCGTTCTCTTGCGGAACCAGACCGAATAGTTGGAGAACTACTTCAGCCTGGAGGAGTCGGCGCCCTAAAGAACATCGGGATGGAGTCATGTGTCGAAAACATTGGCGCGATCTCTGTACATGGATACTGTGTTACACATTCAGGTCGCTTGGTTCATATCCCATATCCTAACGGCTATGAAGGAAGAAGCTTTCATCATGGTCGTTTCATCATGGCTTTGAGAGAAAAGGCGAAACATGCCGCAGGAGTGGACGTTCTAGAGGCTACCGTAACTGACCTCATCGAATGCGAGTACACTAAAAGAGTTATTGGCGTACGTGCAGCAAGGCAAAATAGTGAGGAAGGGAATGAAAAGGGGGGAAAGGAGTCTTTCTTTGCGGACTTGGTGATTATTGCAGACGGCTGCTTTTCAAATTTCAGAAATTCAGTTATGGGTGAAGCTGCACGCAAATCATCAACGAGGAGCCATTTTGTTGGTGCAATCTTGAAGGATGTTACGCTTCCGATGCCCCAGCATGGCACAGTGTGTCTTGTTCGTGGACAAGGTCCAGTCTTGCTGTATCAGGTTTCAGAGCACGATACACGTATGTTGGTGGATGTCAAGCAACCACTACCTTCTGATCTCAAGGTACTACTACAACCTGTTGCAATTCTCGCTATCCTTCCAGTTTTTCGCTGAAGTCTAATAACAGGGTCACATCCTTCAAAACGTCGCTCCTCAACTCCCTTCTGCTTTGCATGTCGCCATTCATAACGCACTCGAGAGTGACCGCCTAAGACGCATGCCCAATTCATTTCTACCACCAGTCGAACAAGGAGGTAAACATATGAAGGAGGGTGTCATTCTTTTGGGTGATGCTTGGAACATGCGACATCCGCTCACAGGCGGAGGTATGACTGTTGCCTTGAATGATGTGGTCATTCTCTCCAAATTGTTGACACGTGTGGACAACTTTGGCGACTGGGACAGCATTTCCGATTTATTGCATGAGTGGCATTGGGCAAGGAAGCCACTTTCATCAACTATCAATATCCTGAGTGTCGCTCTGTATGACCTATTTGGGGCTGATGGTCTGTATATTTCGTTCATTCATTCTGTTCGTCACTCTGACAAGGACAATTTGTAGGAGAATTGTTGGCTGTATTGCAGACTGGCTGCTTCAAATATTTCGAATTGGGCGGTGAATGCATTAACGGACCCGTTTCGCTGTTATCTGGGTAAGTAAATATTTTGCCAACTTCGCAATCTACGTATCTCAGATTGTATGTATAGCATTGCCCCTTCACCAATGCTACTGGCATATCACTTTTTTTCGGTCGCACTATACGCCATTTGGATCCTTTTTACCCATGAAAGACCTGTGCCAGGTCAAGCCCAGGATACAGAGAAACCTATCCTAGCTGCACCACGGATCATTGAATACCCGGGACTGTGCATCAAGAGTTTTAGAGTCGTAAGTATCATCCACGGATCAGCCTTAGGAAGTTAGATTGACACTGTTTCTTTTTTGTTTGCAGTTCTGGATGGCATGTATTGTGTTTGGACCACTTCTCTGGACTGAGATACGTTGGTGGTAAATGATAGACATAGGTTTATAGATGGATTAGGATTATTTGTTTTATTTTGTAATTATGTTTCCCTTCTTATTAACTAATTCTATACCCTTGCAGGAGTAATGAATGTTTTCACTCGCGCATGTGTTGACCATATCTACGACGGCAGGATAGCCAATATTTCTGAAGGCGAAACTTCAGACTGGGACGCCCCAGGTGAGGAACGTCAACTGTCTCAAAGGATAGTGTGCGGCAGTGATACTGGCCCATCGAGTCAGAGTGCTCCGATTACTGATGCCAAGAAGCCTATCAAGTTTCTTAGTCTAGCCACATTGCGTCGCCCGCTGTCAATGGACGTTCAGTAACAGCGGAACAATCGCCCACTGGGAGTCAGTGCGTGTGTTTGAAATTCTACATTGGTTGCTGACTTGTATGGTTTGCGGACGGATGGCGAGTGACGTCGGACCTGAGGGTGATTTCAATACCAACTTGAAGCGCTTTCTCACAGACCATCATTGTATCCCAACAAACCCGCCTACACAGTGTGCATCATTTGCAGAAAAAACTAGACTATTCTATGGTTACATCTACTTGCAACATCACGTCCAACTCAGCAAATGTGAGTCACAGAGAAAATCGAGCCATTGTTAACTCAGCTATAATGATATTAAGTTATGTGACATCTAGCAGCAGTGCATAACGCAAAAAATCAGTGCTACTCATCAGACTGATTACACCGCAAGCGCTCAAAGCGCTCAAATCTGACATATTACGTTGGCCTTGTCAGAAATGACAGGCGTTTCATTGTTGTTGCGTGAAATATCGAGAACTCTTGGGCTCGGTGAGCGTGTATGCCATGTTGGGGGATATCTTCGATTTCGGGAAAGACGGCCTATTGTCACTACTGACGAGGGGCTGGTGCATTGCACACCGCCAAGGGATGCTGGCAGTGTCATAGTGGTGTGGATGATGACCATATAGAAAGTAATGGAAATGATGGGCATGATCTAGGGCTGCGAGTAAGGTTGTGTTGGCTTGATCTCTACTGGACAAGAACTTTACCATGTTTAAGACTATGTAGATTCCTTCACTTTTCGAGACCTCGCATATGAGAGCAGGGAGGAGTGTAGCGATGCACAGGAAGCCTGCATACAGGATGGTGCGGAAAATAGGCCACAGGTTGCTACTTCCAGAGCGGAGCTCACTAGTTTGACGACTGATAGCCCAGATACGATATGCTGCCAAAGCTGATGGGAAAATATAGAAAAATCAGCAAAGTGCTTTTCGGGAACGAAGATATTACTGTACATGTACTGAGGATATTGGTGGTTAGCGAGCTCGCATAAAATGCAATAACCCAAATACTAGAGGTGTAGTTGACAGATCTTTGTCTTAGTGCTATGGCAGATGATGCGACATAAGCAAAGCCAGTTGCTGCAGTATACGGATGTCAACATAACTGGATCTGGTACAGTAAGGATGTGAATTCCATACCAGCAACAGCGCACCAGCATATAGTGGGGACGATTACAACACGCCATGATTGCCAGATAATATAGCAACGGTATATCTGTGATACGTTAGTTAGCTCAGAATAACTCGAATAAAGAGGAGGAAGGCATACAACGACCCCATCACCTAGCATCGTCTGCAGAGTGTATAGCACAGCTTTTGTGGCGATGCTCGACGGTTCCGCGGTCGTGAAGAATTGACTAGGACCTCCCGGATAAGTGTCGCGATATCTTATTAGACCTTTCCAGAGCAGCATGATATCCAACACGAGATGCTAGTACCCAATGGTAAAAGGCTTCAAGAGGATTTCGGCAGTTCACAGTGAAACGACGTACCACAGTACTTAGAACGAGGAAGGCGCATGCGATGGTGAACATGACTTTGGTAACATACGCAGGACGTCCTTTACGCCGGCGCATCAAAGCCCAGATGGTTCCTGCGAACATGAGCAGTGAAAATCCTATTTCATATAAGTTAACCCATCTCCTTCGTTGATCTGTAGCATTGCGAGTAAGTCAGATACGCTCAACTCACCATAGATGATCGCCTCGAGTATTATTGACAACAGAATTGCTCCATCTAGCGATATTTGAGAGTTTGGCATATAGTGCAAGACCTATAGTATAACGAGGTGATCTACGCAATATGATTCCTTCGTTATCACTGTAGTTTAAGTGCATAGTCTTAACCAAAATGCGGAACCTATTATCAATTGACTTGGGGGGCATAGGAGGGGTGTGTACAGTCACGGACACTGCAATGAACATCGCCTAAGCCGATCTGTCAAGACATGTCGTGACAATACTCTGCATGGTTACATATGCTATGGTGCCCAACTCTGTACAACCGATCAACTAAGAATGACAAGGTGATAGGCGCTGGAGCTAAAAAGAGACAACTGACCGTTTGGCCACCAAAAAAGATACCTGCCAGTGGGTGTATTGCTTCAAGGCATTCTGAGAGAATTTATAGGCCAAGTTTACCTCAACTGACTGCGAAAAGAGCACACAGAGCCGACAAATGGTTTCCCACTAGGCCATATCTGTTACTGGGACTGGGAACATCAAGTCACGGTCAATTACCTGCGAGATTCATCATGCGCTGCATCTCGCACACTCCCGTGGGGACAGTCCAAAAGTTTTGGAGGAATACAGTTCTTCCTTTTTAGTAAAAACAGCTAACCTGATATCACTTGACAGAAAAGTCCAGCTTTCATATCTTAACGGCATACACTGCAACAATCCAAAGTCACTGTTACCCAGTCAAAATGACTCTGACATTATGATACACCACTGTTTATATATCTTAGGTGAAATCATTTCATCCTCTGTCGATCCCTCTCGCGACCTTTGCAGACTTCGAGAAATCGAGTACGCAATATGATATGATGGGGACGCTGGCCCTGATTACATCACTATGCCTACGTCTATGAGCGTAGCTCTTCACCGCAATCAACGATCGGTACCTCACCTGCAGCCATTTTTCGGTGATATGTCCAAAGGGAAGCGCTGTCCTAGAATAATACGCCATCGCCCATCAAACTACTTCGTCCCGCTCCACCTTGGGTAAAGATATATCCTTAGCTGAATGGTTGTGGAGAGTCAAATCGATACTAGCACCAGTTGTGGTGGGTTGTGTAGCGTGGAACTGTATAGGCGCCAGTGAAAACAGCTGCGGACCTTGCGACGAACGACTCGTCCTGGTTGTGCTTTGCATACCGCCGACAGACCGGGGAGAAGCCAGGGTGATACGAATAATGACCATGTAGAAAGTGATGGATATGATAGGCATAATCTATTTTGTTATATCATGATCTGATGACCTACACTTAGATGAAGAAGACTAACCATATCTAGCAGAACATACATTCCTCTATCATTGGCCAGGAATGAGACCAACGCAGGAAGGAGCGCAGAGGTGTACAGAAGGCCAGCATCGAGGACGATGCGAACGACAGGCCATAATAAACTGCTTTCTAGTCGATACTTGGCACTATTGCGATCAATCATCCAGATACGGTACGCTAGTAATGCTTTATATGGAGTGAGATCATATATGAAAGAAAGTTGACTATACGCACAGGTGCTCAACAAATTTGTGGCCATCGAAGATGCAAAAAATGCGGGTATCCATGCGCCCGTAGATTTGGTTAGTGCATAAGCTTCCGTTCCTGTGGTCTGTGCTATGATGAGACCGAAACCAGTCGCTTGAGGTGAATATAAGAACCGCTGCCAGGATCATATCAAGATAGCTTCATACTTGCGACAGAGATCCATAACAAAATGGGGAAGACTGCAATACGCCAGGATTGCCATACCACGTAACACCTGTAGATCTAGGAGTCGATGTGTCAGCAAGGACAAGACAAAGTTCACAAAGACGACATACAACGACACCGTCACCCAACATGGTTTGCAAGGTGTAGAGCACGTTTTTGGATACGACTCCCCACAGCTTGATGTCTGAAAAGAAAGCAATAGGACCTCCGGGAAACGTATCACGGTATTCCACAAATGCCTCTTCCAAGCGAAGCAAGTCAATGACCATGTGCTGAAAAGTTGAGTCGATGATTAGAATTTTTCATTTGTCTGAAACTCACTGCTGTGCTGAGGATGAGTAAAGCCCAAGCGACGATCATCATATATGGACTGCCGTCACTGTTTTTGTGCCTATGTAGCGAAGACCACATTGTGAGTATGAACATCAGGACGGAGAACCCTAGATAAGAAACATGACGTCAACTATGGTTGGCGCCAGCGTCTACAACTTATGCATACCATAGAGGATTGCTTCTAAAGTTATTGAGAGCAGCCCGGCTTTATCCATGGGGATGCCATGTAGTTGTGTCATACCAGGGGAACGTTAGTGTGATGAGGAGTTGGCAGATTCTCGTTATCCTTCATATACTTAAATACGAGCGCTAGGCAGAAAATAGCCCGCTCACCCGCACAAGCATTGCATTTTTGATGAAGATCAAGACTACCACTCGCCAAAGCGAGCTTGAATACATAACAGAGCGTCATGTTCGATATCGCTTGGAAGGGTGCAGAAGTGGAGTGAGGCTGTGATACCCGTGTGCGGAAAGAAACATACCAGGACAGTCCAAGGATCCCACTGGGTGTGTCCAATCAACATCGCTGGTTTAGCTAGTGCTAGCCCACGCCTGGGTAACGTGATAAGCTCTCTACCAACCTACGCTGTACTAGTAGTACTGGCTGGTCAGTACAGTGTATAATCGGGAGTAGCCACCGAATGGACCGGTCTTACCCGAAAGGTCTCAACTCCGCCAGCTGAGCGTTCCGTTGGCTCATTGGCATCGTTCACGACGACGGCGAGACACAAATGCTCAAGGCTTCAAAATCAGCAGCGACACTAAACCGTCGCGCGGCTTTTACAACATTTCGCCGCTCTCTAGCTACCGTCGCAGACCCCCCAGTCCGGCGGTATGGTGGTCTCAAAGACCAGGACCGAATTTTCACCAATGCTTACTGTAGACATGACCATGGCTTGAAAGGTGCAAAGGTATGTACTAGTTATTCTTTCAGTTGCCTTTATTTGACATGTCATCTTCTGAAGTCTCGTGGAGACTGGCATCGCACAAAAGATATCATTCTCAAGGGTGACTCTTGGATCATACAGACCATGAAGGATTCTGGTCTTCGAGGTCGTGGTGGGGCCGGCTTCCCAAGTGGTCTTAAATGGTCTTTCATGAACAAGCCTGGGTGGGAAAAAGATGGACGGTCAGTATCCTTACTTTTGTCATTTACTTTCGTGTCCTTACGCCGTCCCTCATAATCTTCTCTAGCCCACGCTACCTTGTGGTCAACGCAGACGAGGGTGAACCTGGAACGTGCAAGGATCGTGAAATTCTCCGAGGTGATCCACACAAGCTCGTCGAAGGGTGTCTCATTGCTGGACGAGCCATGAATGCAACAGCAGCCTATATCTATATCCGCGGCGAGTTCTTTCAGGAAGCCTCACATCTCCAGCAAGCCATCACTGAAGCTTATCGCGACGGTCTGATCGGAAAAAATGCTTGCGGGTCTGGATACACCTTTGACGTCTATCTCCACCGTGGTGCAGGCGCATACATCTGCGGTGAGGAAACTGCACTCATTGAATCACTCGAGGGCAAACAAGGTAAGCCGCGACTTAAGCCACCCTTCCCTGCGGATGTCGGCCTTTTTGGTTGTCCCACAACTGTTGCAAATGTGGAAACCGTGGCTGTTGCACCTACGATATGTCGTCGCGGTGCTTCGTGGTTTGCTGGGTTCGGACGGGAGCGGAACCAGGGGACAAAGCTGTATTGTATCAGTGGGCACGTAAACAACCCTTGTGTCGTCGAGGAAGAGATGAGTATCCCTCTGCGCGAGCTCGTTGAGCGCCACTGTGGTGGTGTTCGTGGTGGGTGGGATAACCTCCTTGGCATCATCCCTGGCGGTAGTTCGGTACCTGTCCTACCAATCGACAAGTGTGGCGAGGTGCTTATGGATTATGACTCGCTGAAAGATGCCCAGTCGGGTCTTGGAACTGGTGCAGTCATAGTCATGGATAAAAGTACAGACATTGTTTCAGCAATCGCACGCTTTTCTTCTGTGAGTTGACACATTTCATCGGCATGGTTTGTGTATTGATATTATGTCACTTTCAGTTTTACAAGCATGAATCGTGTGGTCAATGTACTCCCTGTCGTGAAGGCACGACATGGATGATGAACATGATGAACCGTATGGTCGAAGGTCGTGCCCACCGGCGAGAGATCGACATGCTCCTTGAACTAACGTACGCCACCCGTCTCCTATCTTTTACTACCTATATTTACTAACCAATCCCTCTCGAAATATAGTAAACAAGTCGAAGGTCGTACGATTTGTGCCCTGGGCGACGCTGCTGCCTGGCCAATTCAAGGCCTCATGCGCCACTTCCGCCCACTTGTTGAAGCGCGTATTGACGAGTTCCGCGCAACGCAAGGCGGTGTGATGTTTGGAGGGAGGATGATCAAAGATGCGGATACTACACTCGCATTACCTGATAACTTGGGAGCGAATTTGATAGAAGCTGGCGATCGCGTGTAGGGTGGATGTATCTAGACGTATCTCAATTCAAAATCCTTTTCTAAAGCGTTGTCGACCATGGTAAGGCAACCAACATCATGGACCTTTGAGAATTTTAAGCAAAGCCGCAAAGTATTCATGTAATATTCATGACTATTCACAAAAGTTTCATGATGTTTTCATTACTATTATTTTTATCTAGGAACATGACCAGGATGATGGTGTCAGTGTGAAGCAGGGGATGTTGTCCTGGAGCATTTGTGGTCCCTTGATAATCAACGGGAGCGGGAGCAGTGATCGTGAATAGAAAGGGACTGATGCCATTCACATAAAGACCTGTCAAGTACATGGAGTGCCCCAAGTGTTTGAACATGGGAACATGCACAGCCGTGAGTTCGCCAGAGCGTATTCAAAAGCCATGGATTCAATTGAGATGGTAACAATTTTGGGGCGGTGGGATCTATGCGTGAAACTTGAAGTAGGGAAAAATATTGTGAGCACACGAAAGCAGTGTAATGATGGGGAGGCTACGACGCCAACCCCGCGAAACTTGCGCCTTGAGTGCTTGACAGTCCTGCATGCCCCTCGAAAATCATGTCGAGTGATTTATTTGCAAGTTGTTTTCTAGAATTCGTTTGTGGCAGTTGTTTCCTGTTATCCTGTCTGTTGATATTCCGTGAAGGAACGAACACTCTAGCCTTGGTCTTCGTACGTAGGATCTTTCAAGCAGTCCGCTTCACGTGGTTCAATCTAGACCAATTTCCCTTTATATACGAATGTCCCAGGTCTGTAACGTTCGTTTGCTAACAAGAGATATGTTGATTGTCAATTAACAGGAAAAGGTGGGATAAAAAATGCCCAGCCCTCAGGTGCAAAATTGCCCAGTTATGGACCAAACAGTTCAAAGAACTGAGTGGGGTAAATTGGCCTGTTGAACAGGGTTCGGGCAGCTGCAGTACATTTCAGCACGTTAGGATTGGAATTGTACATACCTGGTGTAGTACGTGGTCAGTCACGGTTACTCTGAGTGGAAAAACAACCACACGTGTAGGAAGCAGATTGAGACTTCCCGCTCTCAAAAAACTACATTTCAGGGTACTAATTAGCACCAGATGGAGGGTATTTTTGAGTTATTAGGTCGCGCTAGTGCTTGGAGTTATCAGGATGTCAGTGAGACCTATGAGCCAGAGCGCTGAATTTGGTTAAGTATTGAATCCAGACTCGAAACCTTTGAATTCACGTGACTGACGATATTTCTCTCCAAATGTCGCGCCTCCTACCTCCGACTTGTTGTCCACCACCACGACGAAGCACACTGCAGTGTGTTCCAGCACATATATGAGGCGCTCATTTTCTATGATTATTCAGAATGTCTGAAAACTTCCATTTTTCTGACAGCCCTGACTTCAACGATGGTAGAACTTGACGCCAGTGCCAAAGTAGTAGCTTTTAGTATGATGGGTCAACCGTACAAGGGATCGAGATACCGAGAGCAGCCCAATGCGCGAAGTCACCGTCTATCCAACAAACTCGGTTCCATATATGCGCCTGACCTTTCGCTCAGGGCTATGCCTATCTATGTCTATCTGTATGCGTTCTACTACGGAGCAAATTTTGTGCGGACATCCTTGTTCTCAACGGTTCGCACAAAGCATGTTTGGCATTATCGCCCTTTCTTCTCCTGAAGCCCATATCACAAACTCTGGTCGAACCATTTATCCACGTCGTTGACTTCAATGACACCCGAATAACGCGCATGTAGTCCAAAGTTCTGTCTGGTTCTGCGCCCAAGTTACACACAATTCCAATTCCGTCAATCCCACTGGCATAAATCTCATTTCGATGATCCGCAGCTTATTCTATCTACACGCCTGGACCGGACGGAATGCAGCAGCCGTAACGGGCGTAGTACCTTATTATGGATCCATTTACTCTCAAGCATGCGATATGACCGCTTGCCTCCTTGGCAGGAGGAGGTTCAAGATGTCAACTGATATGCCTAAACCGAACGGAAATCAAATAGAATAATGATTAATCGGTCAAATTCACCAAACTGGTGCAGAGACGATAGTCACCTATCCATGGGGATGTGGCGTACATGGTTATAGTGTCTCACCTGGACAGCTTACCGCTAATATCTTCCCATACATTTCGACGGGACTTGGCTGGCCGCCTTCTCCCTTGGGCACCATGCATCAGGATTCCACACTCCCCTTCGCTATCTTATTCCACGTGTTAGCCTTATGCACCTGATCTACAACCTTCAAGCACGAGTGTGCACTGCATAGCCCTTCTTGCATACATGATATGTGTACATATAGAAGCACCCCAAATGTTCACACGCATGTGACGCCCATGGGAAATGCAGGATCACGTCCGAAACAAAGCACTTATTGCGAGCAAGAACCACGAAAGGTACAGCCCGCTTATCAAAATTGCAGACTTCAACCGAATTGGAAGTAGGTATTCCCCGCAACCCTCAGCCCTCGAGAAAGAAATATTTCGGAGATTACCACTCCTAGTCTTTACCGTAAGTCATGCAATAGAGCCTCTTGTTCTGTATCTGTATGCATAGATTTACGTACTTCTCCCTTCAGTTGACTTCTCATCATCCTATTATTTCCACTTTACCTGCTCTCGATTGCTCTCGATCTTCATCTATCTTCGAATCATATTGTCGTTCCTCATTACTGATTTTATCCTATTGTAATTAGCAGGCTAAACAGTAGGCAATTCGGGTGTTTCCTCGACCAGTGAATCCAGGGTTAGTGGGGACCTAAAGGATAGCTTCGAGTACGCATCACGCAAAGACCGCCGGAACTCTCCAGCTCATCTAGAGTTAATATTTCTGATCCTCCGCCAGTCAAGGCTCTACTCCTTGGAAGGTTTCTACACTCTGTCCTGGTGAGCTCTGGATAAGGAAGATTTTGTGTTCGTTCTCGTCGCATTGAGCGCGCAACCTTTACATTCGTTCACCACCGTTCAGGTTGACATCGTCGACAAGGTTCTTTAACTTTCAAAACAGGACACAAGCAAAACGCAGATCCTCAAGATTAGGAAGATACTGTAACCACTACCCTTATCGCCTTTTATGAAACAATCGATAGCGTCCTGTAGGAGGAAAGGGCCCAGAACAAATGATGTTTTCAAACTCAAATGTCTATGGGAGAAATGGCCCTTTGCATCGAGGCAAAGTCCCTTTAGATCGGTGCTTGCTAAAGGAGATGGACAATAGCTACGGCGTCAACTCTTCATTGTTTATCCCTTTCCTTACGTGCCTACAACATTTGTGTCATAGACAAAATGACATGAACATGACCCAATGCCAACCAAAATGTATCATGCTACCATGGCTTTCACCATGCTGGCCTGTGTTGTAATGTTACAAATCCAAGGAGGCATTCGAATCCGAGATTGTCTTCTAGCTAGAAAACAGCCTCCGCATTCTATACCGCTATTCGAGGAGCCGCATCAAACTCCGCAAGACAAGGCAATCTACAGAATTACTGTCAGATGAGTAATTGGAAAGACGGATCGCGGGATCACAGATAGCTTGGCAGACCAAGCAGGCCGGCCGGATTGTGGATTCTGAGTGGCCAAGAAGCTGAGCGCTGAGCGTTTAACAAGCCAATGTAACGGAAACAAAATTCCTCGCATGGAATAAGGACTAGGAGCATCCAACCCCACGTCAAGTTCTATCCCGCTATCAGATGTGCTATTCTTGCAACAAATCCATTCCAGCATTGAGCAGGCAAAGGGGGTTAAACTATGCTTTAATATCAGCAGTTGACGGATCAGTGCCGCGGTCATTGGACGGCGGTACATGTTATTAACCAGTTACACTAAACTCCGATTCTGCCAGATTCTGCCAGATAGCTCCTAAATATACGCAGAGACGAGATAGACGGGCTTAGACGAGGAAAGGAAACAGCATCAGTTGCGCAGTGTAATAAGCTCTCAAGCTAGCCAATCGCGGACCCATAAGATGATGTGCCTCGCGGAGACTAGTGGAAAAGATAATATCAGAACCTCTATGTCAGACAATCGATACTCAAAGTGGAATGTGACATTGCATGCTGGTATGGTATGGTTGAAGGGGTGATTACCAAATTAGAGTACTGCTGTAGGTGTTGTGTTTTGACAGCCAAAAAGGAGGATCGTCAAGCGCGCGGGGTACAGATCTAGAGCACGAGGTAGCGGAGCAACGAAGGATAGCACCCGATCTGCTCAGGCTGCAAAGTATAGCGGTGAAGGTGAGACGAGGTACGGAACTGTCAGATCGAGATAAGTAGCCGTTGGACGGATCAGGGTGCTGCCAGTGGGCGGGACATGCTCGAGCATGCTCGACAGGGAAGTCACAGTACATCAAAAGCAGGTACTTAGGCTCAGTCGACTTACACCCGAGATAAGCGCGCGTAGTCGAACATGATGCCCTGAACTTGAAGGCGGAGTCCGAAACTACACTGGGGATTCACAAGTTGATTATAGTTAGGAAAATTGAAGCATCAAAAAAGGGACTCACAGGTGGCCGAAGTTGTCGTGTCCGAATGCTCTTCTTTCTCCTTACCAGTTGTAGACGGGCCTGCGTGGAAGTGGTGTGAGGGTCTAGGTCAAGTACATTCAATGATCAGTTCCTGATGCGAGGGGCCAGAACATACACGGAATACAAGGATAGCCATATGGAGAGGCAGTGCGGAGGTACTATAGAGCAATAGAGCACGTTTCGCCGGAGAAACGGGAGATAATATTTGGGAAAGTGGACATGTGATGGAGCGGACTCATTCGCCCTTCATCCAAGCAGAGAAGTTGCAGACCGCAAAGTCAAACCTCGAGGCAAGCCGGTCCCGGCTCGACTGCCTCGTTGTATTTTCAAACTGGTAGCAAGTTCGACCGGCTGCGATTTAAATTCAGCTCGGAAGGACATTGTACTTGGGACTTCTACAACGAGATACACGAGCTCTACAATAATTAAGGCCCAAGGTACGGAGGTGCACGAAGATACTATCGAAACACCTCGGGTGGAAAATAATCCGAATGTCGTTTTGATGTCACAGTCGCGTGTATGTTTGAAGGCCTGCTCTCCGGTTTGATCTCATTCTTTTCTCAGCGCTGCACGAGTGTCCCGATCGACATCCCAATTTGGGAGTCTCCACAGTGGATTAAAATCCACACACGACAAACCACTTCTCTCGGCCACTTTCAACCCATAAACCAATCTCCTCCACTCAGTGACCATGACGCTCTGATACCTAAGCACCTAACGCACTCCCCCTAACTTTCGTTCCACTTCGCTCCACCTTGCCTCGATCTCCTCCGCTCGGATGATGATAGTTTGATCTTTCCTGGACGGCGACTTACTTGCATTGAGGCTCCATTATCTCTGTTCCAATCCACCATGATCCGTTTTGAAGGGATGTCCCCTGATGTCGTGCAAGCGATGTGCACGCCTATGCATAGAATACTTCCTACGTCCACAGCCCAGTCGCAGTCGCAGTCTCGGTCGCAATCCACCCAATTACAGCAGCAGTCGACTCCAAGTTCTGGCAGTCTCTATCTCGGTTCCATTTCTGCCACAATGGACCGCGACCTCCTCCGTGCTCATCACATCACACACCTCGTTCAGGTTCTCGACGTACCATGGCTTCCTATCTCAGAAAAAGACGGATTCAAATGTCTCCGCATCGATATACTCGACATCCCCACTGTTGACCTGCGTCCGCATCTCGAGGGCGCGTGCGGTTTCATTGCAAAAGCACTTCAAGGAGGCTCAAATGTACTTGTGCACTGCCAGCAGGTCCGTATTCTCCCGTTTCAGTTGACCATTACATTACTCATCAGTTTGGCTACTTAGGGTGTATCTCGCTCTCCAGCAATTGTCATCGCTTACCTTATTCACGACCTTGGGATGACTTTTGATCAAGCTCATGCTCTCGTAAAACGTCACCGGCCATGTATCAATCCTAACCCTGGCTTTGTTAACGCCCTCCGCGCTTGGGAAGGAAAATGGCATGCGCCCCCTGTTGTAAAACGTTTTGCTAGTTACACAGGCTCCAGCGGTAGCCCCAGTGGGAGTGCTAGCGGACAGCCGGCGTTTACGAGAGGTATGAGTTATGCAGGTGGGGCATCTGGTGGTACAGTAGATGACAACAGCCATGCAAGATAGGTAGCCGAGTCTACACCGTACGCTCTCAGTTTTATCAATCTCGGTGTCCGTCAATGACTGGTTTCAAAGAGAAATAGCCATATGCTTTCGCTTCCATACATTTAGTTCATACATTTATCACACGCACACTACACTTTACCCATCATCTCACTCGGCGTTTTTCAGTTCCCAGGCTTTTACATTTTCTGTACTGTCCTAAATGCGGATAATTAGGCTACTCTTGTATAGATGTAAAATATCTGGCTTGTCGTCGTACACGCTGTAGATGTCATGTTTTTCTCTTGCCCTTCATGTCCTTCGTGTCTCCCTTTCTTTGCTATTTGGGTACCCGGTCACATCTGCTCTTTCGCGTTCCGCCGTGGTTTGGTTGAATGTTTTCTATGTTATGGTTTTACTTCAGGTTTCATGCACTCGACTATTTAATTTTCTTCAATAAACGGGTCTTTTCATAATTTATGTCTAAAGTGGTCCTCTACGGCGGGCAGCTGGGCTAAATCGGTCAAAGTCTCTGTCGACCTCGACTCCTTAAAAGTCATTGCTATGCCTCCCTCCCTGTAGAGACCTAGAATAATTCCATCATTGCACCCAACCAGTTATTTGTCGTCATCAATCGTGCTTTCAGCAATTCCTAATGTGATCGAAGTAGACAAGATATCCAAGTATGACGCGCTCACCTCAAACGGGAAATTTCGAGGTTTTTGAATATCAAATACCTTTGACTGAGATCGACACACCGACGACATATGGTGACGTCCCCCGGGCACGATCGCGCTCTAGGATACCACCGTCCTCAAGTGCATAAAAGTGATCCAGATCGGCGGCGGGGGCTAAGCTTAATGGAACCTCTTTATATTTCAATAGGTTTGTGGTTTAGGCCCATCTTAGAAGGAATAAAACGTCACCGTGCCATCACTGCAACACTGGAGAGAACTCCAATGAAGTCAGAAGACGTAGTACAGCAGGGGCTAGTGGCGACCGATGGGCGGGTCCGTGGGGCAGATAGTTTATGATCCACATATATCGTAGCTCCAGAGACATAAATGCCTATACACAGCTAAGGCATAGGCCTGGAAGACCTCGAGGGAGAACATGTCAATTCAAGGAAGCTGAGAAGCGGCATCTTAGATCCCTATCTTTCTGCCCAGATTCAAGATTGCAAGGTTTTTAACGTGAGACTATCAAATGGGATAGATTGGCAGGCAAATACGGCTCATTTTGAACCATGGCCGTGGCAAGACGACTATGAGTTATTAATTAGCTCGCATAATCGCCGGTGGCCCTTGGTGCCGAGCTCTTGATCAGTGAGATCCAGAAGCTTTAGGGGCCTGGAACTCGCTACGAGGGAGGGCGATCAACCCTTCGATCTCGTGTCCCTGTTGTCCATTTTTGATTCCGGTGCCTATCGATCTCGCGGTCCTGACGTCGAATTTTCAGAAAAGGGCTGAGCATGGGAAAAGCACACAGCACAAAGCTGGCCCGTTAGGCAAGTACGCCGCCACTGTCCCGCCGCCGCATCAGTACAGAACCTGACATACTGAGTACGGTACTTACGACTCCTAATCAGATGAGTGAACCTTCTCGCATGGAAACCACAATTCCATGAACTGGAATTATTATTCGAAAGTCAGTTGTGTCGTAAAAATTAAGATTAGATGGGTCTAGAATAGCGCTGACCGTTGAAATCTATACAATTTGTAATATTTGGGCCGCATTTGACTATTGATCGTGAGAGTCTACCGTGTGTGGAGCGGGGTGCACGAGAGCCACCGGTACCACCAGCAGGAACCACTGCTCAAGAAGTAGCGTATTTGTATTAATATCGCGTGCCTGGCTACCACACCTTCGCGATGAGCCTAGAATCAGCTCGACACAATACATTAAGTAGGAACATGACATACATATTAACACAGTATCTTCGCACATTATCGACCAACTGCTACGCACAATAGTGGGTGACTTATTTTGCGGTTAATGCACATTTGGAGAATCAGCGGAATGAGTCGAATATGCTTCCCTAGAATCAATAAAGACAGCGATGGAAAAATCACTGCATCATGTTTGGTGTTGAAAAGATGACCCGTTGATGCTTGATCGGAGCGGTCAAAATGGTCGTATTACATATACTGAATAAACACACACGAAGGATTAGTAAACCATGGTAAAACGGGCAAGGTGGGTACCGCAGAAGCTCTTCGGAGGTGAGACCATACTACGAAAACAATCCGCTGAAATGAGATCATGCCATTACAAAAACGAGCCAGCACCATTACGTACTGCTCATATTTTATATTCTACCGTCAATGGCCCATATCGTTGTGGAGTTAAATTGGCTGGTACGTGCATTATTTGAATGGATGAGCTCACTGCCAGTGCCGGTGGTCTGTAGAAGCGCCGTGGGAACGTTACGCGTTACTGCCTGCTCGGTCCACACATCTGAATTAGCGCCACAATTTGTGGCATCTATTGGTCGAGACTAATTTGATAGGATGAAATACATTCTCTCTCCTAAACGGTATGCTCTAGGGGAGACTAGACAAGTACTACTGTTTATACATACTCAATTTCGATGCCGATAACAGATTCTGACTTCAAAAAGTCTCCAAGTACGATATCCGTCCGTCTTATTCGTTATCCAAATGGTCGCTGAGGTAAGAGGTCCTTGAAACTTGAAGTCGCATCTGCGATCCTCCTTACACACCATAAACAATTCAGCGTGCCATAGACACTATACCAGTCTAGAGCACAAGTTTTGCTTGATTGTCAGGACTCGCCGCTTCGCAAAATTGTATTTCGCAATCCTCTGGCAAACAATACCTAATCAAGACGTTGCAATGTTATCAATCAGTTCGAAACGATTCGAGCGGCCTTCCAAGCAGCCACAACTTGAGAGTGTGCATCTGAAAAGTTTCGCATGCGATAGGTAACTATGTGACTGAAGGTTAAGTATGGAAGAATATGAAAGATATCAAACAACTTCGTTGTGGATGAAGATCGAGACTTAATCGAAATTTGATCGTAGATTGGTCCGTGTAGTTGAATGCGTTGATGTTGACACTTCCATAAAAGCATGTGACAAGTGCTTTGGCGTATAATGATATGGAAGTTGCAAGGACTATCGGACTATCGGAATTTAAGCGTGGTTATCTAGGGAAAGGTAACATCGATAGCAACAGCAACGCTCTAACAAGGTGAGTGGAGTGATGGCGTATCCCTTTGAGCAATACTGCTCGAGGTTTCATGTAGACCCTTCATTTCCTGCAAGTTTACATGTTAGGGGGCTGCTTCCACAACAAAATGATGTTTGTCATCAACGTACATGGAGGATAATCCACTTCGCTACCAAGACTTTGTGCAATACAGTGTAATGCTTAGGTTCTCGCACCTTCATATATGCATCGTGATATGGCCCAGGAACTCTTCGTGATTCATCTTCTGCGAACTTCAGATAAAGCACTGGAAGAACACACGACCGCAGAGATCCCCACTATTATGCAGGGGTCAGCTTCATTAACTAGTTGCAGTATCTCATGAATGTGACGAGGCCGTTCGTCAAACCATACAACTCCGGGCCGACAAAGTTGGCCACATTTGGGGCATCGAGGAAGGTCTGACCAACGTACCGCAGGCTCAGGACCACCAGCTTCGATGACGAGTTCAGTACATTTGAAAGCCGGACGGATTGGGGAGTTGTAAATTGTTTCGTGAAAATCGCGCTCATGAGCAGTTCAGACGACGTCGAAGAGTCAACTGTGCATCTCTATAGGATAGAGAACATTTGTTTCGTGGAGTTCCTTTATGGTTCCTCGAGGGCGAGAGTATTCTATATTCTGAGTAAAGTGTGTACACTTTGGATTGGGGGAGACGCTGTGGCGAATGCGTGGAATGGCCAGTCGAGCGAGAACATAGTGAGCGGCATTTGGAGCGGCATTTAGGACTCTGTTGGTGGCAAAGCAATGTGGTAATTGAACACAATTATACCGTACGAGTACTCACTGTTCTTGCCTATGATGGAAGAACTGCACTCGAGCCTGGTTATCAGCAAAAGCTGAAGGGGTGTTTACAGATGCGACATCGTATTTAAGCCAGAACCCCCACTACCTCTAAAAGTAGGAATTCCGAAAAATGTGTGTCAGCGCAGTTCACAAACGACAAGCAAACCGGAAGCTGCGGATAGACGTCGAGCGTCAGAAAATATTATAATTTTCTGAGCTGGAAACAAGACCCGTTGGAATACTTCGATGTCGGATGACATGATGGTTTAAACGTTGTATCCAACATTGAGAATGGTCACGGATCTGGGTCTGAATTCTTAGTACTACACCCACACAGACCGACGCCTGCGGCCTTCTGAATCTCTTTCTGTGCTTTCATACTTTGTTGACCTTCAATAACGAACGTGTTCACAGTACTACAGGACCAGGCAGGTGCTTGCACATCAACCAGAAGGGACTAGTAGCCGCACACGAATGCAACATGGCAGAAAAAGTGAGCAGTACCCAAATGTACTTGCCCAGGCATTTATAAAGGCAATCCCACATCACCAGTCTCGTCGTTGCCGCGGCCAGCATCGTCAGTCACAGTAACACAGGTGCAGGCACCGACTGGCATGTCATTTCACCTAGACATTTTCTCTGCGCAACACTTCCTTATGGACAGAGGAACCAGCTCAGTGAATCAGGTTGACCAAACTACGGTTGCCAGCGCTGAGTTCTCGTCCATCGTTCCTGGCACTCTCATAAAAAATACTATTGTCATCCAATCCTCACGTAGTGGGGCTATTATCGGTGGCGTAGTAGGAAGCACGGCTGGCCTTGTACTTCTCGGTCTGCTCATCATTTATCTACGTAGGAATCGAAGAAAGGACAATTTTGATGCCAATTCCAAAGCTCAGCACGTCCTCAATCTCTCTACCAGCCAACAGACTGACCGAGGTAGCCAAAACGAGGTACCGCTATTCCCGCAATACTCAAGCAGTCGCGAAGGAATCACCCAGCAAGACGAAGAACATCCGAATCTCTCTCTGAACACAAACACAGGAGGATCATACTTATCCGAAGAAAATGCTCCCCTCTGCTCAACGTGTGCAGGGCTAAATTTTCACCTTTTGCTCCGCAATGGCGTTCAGAAGGAGAATGCGTTTCCACTCGGGCCTCTAATAAGCATCCTTCAGAAATCAGATCATTGTGGGTTTTGCCGCCTCGTGTCCATGGTAATTCGTCAAACCTGGCGTCTAGATAAGCTTCCGGACGTTGATCTTTCAGAGATTAACTGTGCGCTGTACTCCATGAAATACGGTTATCTGCATTATCCTGAACCTGCTTCAACTGAACTATGTCATCGCCTTTATGTTCATCCCTCCGGTCGTCCGTGGGAGATAAACACTGCGATGCGTGCTTCCCAGCAAGGATACATGTTAGATATTCAGCTATTAGAAGAGGATGCTCCCAAGTTTGGGAGAACAAACGAGCTGCACGGACGAAGGATGGGTGAAAACTTCGACGTGAGACTTGCGAAGAAGTGGATCGAGCTCTGTGAAAATGATCATGGAGATGCTTGCGAATCGGTATGGTGGCGGGGTGACGACAAAAATCTGCCTGGATGCGTACGTATGCTTGATGTGTCGAGCATGACTGTGGTTCCTGCACCGCCAGCATGTCGTTACGTGGCCCTAAGCTATCTTTGGGGAGGCATGGGAGGGGAGTACTGGACAACTCGAGCGAATTTGGAGCAGCGTTCAATATCCGGTGGTCTTGATGCGTCTATGTTACCTGGAACTATTAGTGACGCCATTCAACTTGTACGTCAGCTTGACGAACGCTATCTCTGGATCGATGCTCTGTGTATTATTCAAGACGACCCAGAAGACAAGGGTGTGCAGATTCGTGTTATGGAGCTGATATATGGCAGTGCCGTCTTCACGATATTCGCTGCTGGCGGGAGCAATGCCGATGCACCTTTACCTGGCCTTCGTCCTGGAACTCGTGAACGCAAACAACATATAGAAATTATCCAAGATCTTCACCTTACCGTGCCGCTTCCAATACCCCGTGGTGCCATCTCTCAGACCGTCTGGAACACACGTGGATGGACGTTTCAGGAGCTTGAGCTCTCACGTCGTCGGATATTCTTCACAGACCAACAAGTCTACTTCGAATGCGGGCAGGATGTGTGGTGCGAAGATGTCGTAGCAGAGTGCGAGCGTCAGCCCTACACGCACCAACCATTACGGTATAACGGAGTCGGAGATTTCATTTCTCTGCGCCCTCCAAAAAGCTGGGACAAAGAGGGATATGTGGTAGACTACACAAGTGCCATCGGGCGTTACACGCAGCGTCAGCTTACCGTGGAGTCGGACATCGTAGATGCTGTCACTGCACTTACGAATGCATGGACGAAAGCCTTCAAGTTGAATGAGGGTGATCCGATGAAAGCATTTCGCTTTGGGATGCCTATTGCGCACTTAGACGTTGCACTTTTATGACAGCCTGAGCCAAGCACACCACATTCCAGACGTTTAGTCGATGGGAGCGAGGATACACCGTGGCCTTCCTGGTCATGGGCGGGGTGGCGGGGTGCCCACCGCTACTTTGATGACCGACAATTCGTCAACTTTCATAGAGGAAATAATTACCCACTGCCCACAGAGTCATTGGTTAATCACTGGTTCATTGTAGAGGAGAGTGGAGAAATTGTTTCACTAGATGTTACCTGTATAGATCGAATCATTGTACACCCAGAGAGGGAGTCAGGGTTGAGACGGTATTCACCTCCACGAGGGACAGTTGATCAACTGCAGCTCGACATTAGAAACATCCATCCCAAAGAACCCGGTACTCTCATCTTTCGGACAAGCTCTGCGTACTTCAATGTAACAGAGCTGGAAAACGATGCCAGTGGTATTCCAGCTGTGGGGACGCACCACGCCGTCTTTTCATTATTGTCCAACGCACCTCCGTCTTCAGCTCGGGTGGGACGGGTTATCTTACCGGTCTCCACATGTACACCAGTGTCTCTCGAGTTTGTAGTTCTATCCCGTACGGGCGGACCATTGGGCGCATTCGATGAAGATATTTTTGGGAAACGGTATTCTGATTGCTTTTTATATGTGATGGCGGTTCAGAAGATACACCAGAGGAAGACGTTGGAGCGCATTGGAGTGGGTATAATCTTCGAAAGGGCTTGGATTGATTCCCTGGCAAATGAAAAAGTGGTGTTGCTTCGATAATGAATGGTGATGTGCAAGTACGAAGCAGTTCATCGAGGAAAATAACGCGATGGCAGGTTTAAAGCAGAGACTGCAGCATAAGTATTTAGATCTGAAGTCTGACGAAACCAATCAATCTATATAAACCTCTGAAGGTACTTGTTAACAGTCTCTCGGACTTTGGGTGATATCTCAGACAAGATCTCACTCATTTCATTCCTCAAACACACATGGTAAGCAAATTGCGTCGCTATCAAAAGTATGCAAATAAATGATCAACATGCCCATATCGCTCCTACCCCGCGCTCCTTGCTGAGAACTAAACCGCTCTCGTGACGTTGACAACAACAAGGGTAAGTCCAATATATTGCCAAAAAGAGGGGTCTGTACCATACCATAGTATGGATTGATGTGACAGTACAAAGCTCTATCCGACTGGTCTACTACTGAAAATATTCAGCCACGATATCTCCAATCTTCGGTGTCACTCCAGACAATATCTCGATAGTCTCATTCTGTACCAGTACACGGTCGTAAGTGACTGAAGCTTGGAAAGGTGAGATGAAGGAGGAACTATTGCTCACCCAAATCTTTTCCTGAAGCATTCCCCCTTCTTTGCTTATCACAAAATCACTCGGTTCAACAACTTCAGCCAAGTGCACGTAACCTCCCTTTAGCTCTTCTTCACACCCGCTGCCACCTTTCTTTCTTGCGCCAACTGCAGCATATACCAGTTGACGCGCTCCTTGTTCGCTGGTCCAAGCTAACAGTAGCTCCATCATCCGCACAAACATATTGAGCATCGGTCGTGAATAATGAAAGCGTCGCAACTGGGAATAACAGTAGCCTGGGTTGACGGCAACTGCAGCCATAGGTGTTTTCAGACGGAGGTGCGCCGCCATAGCCCGTACGAAGAAGAGATTGAAGACTGGAGGGCCATGGAGGCGTCAGATGCAAAACGAAAGGAATTGTCAATTAAGAAACATACGTTTCGTTTGGTGATATCGACGCCTCATGGCACTTATGTTGCAAGGAGAACTTTTGTAAGCCAGATCTATCGCACGACGGGAAATTTTCACTCACTTCGTTGTACAGTAAGTTTTATCACTAAGCTTTGCCAAAACCTTGGGGGAATTCCTGACTTCATCCTCGATTGTAGCCCAATAGTGGACATCACTCGAGACGATCACCACCCGTGAGGGTGATGAGAGTGTTCCGGCTGAAATCATGTTTGGCATGAGAAGGAGTGACAAGAGGGCTGTGGACAAATGATTGACTTGGATTCTGTATGTGGATCGAACAGAGTGATGTTATATGAGCGCGCCCGTTCTCATGATAAGGACATAGAGGCACGCACGTGGACTCCCAGCCATCCTTCGCCTCCTCATAATTAAGTTGGAGTATTCCAGCATTCATGACGAGAATATCCAGCCCCTTTCCCTGCTTTTTCTTGTTAAACCTATCTGCGAATGCCTTGACAGATGAAAAATCGGCTAGATCGATAGGCCATAGCTCGGACTCTCCGTATTTGGTCTCCCTTTTTACCTCTGAGAAAATAAACGTGTTAGAACACGACGTGTATCAAGATGGCCGCAGATCAATGGTTCATCGTATGGTTCGAGTCATAGTCAACAACGACCCACCTTCGATGGCTTCTCTACCTTTCGTTTCGCTCCTGCAGCCCAATATGAGCCTTGAAGGGTTCATACGGGCAAAGTGCTTCGTTGCTTCGAGGCCGATACCGACGTTGGCACCAATGACCACGACGGTTTTGCCTCTCAGATTAGCCTTCTCGACAGGCGGAACAGTGGACCACTGGTCGAAGATAAACTGCCAGATTGGTTTTCTCATATTCTTATGTTGTTTCGTGTTCTAAAGGACCTGTTAGTGAAGAGGTGCTGAAAGTGAGGGGGATTGGCGAGAGTTGGGCGCAGCTTATATATTGCACTATAGGGGTGACGGGACGCCATCACGATCTTCCATTTAAGTTACTAATGATGACTGTTTTTCCAGTCTCCAGGTAAGTTATTCATATCTAGTTATTCATGAAACACACTACATCCCCTGTGGACTGTGGAAAAACATGTCGATAATGTATCACTGGCGCGCCGCAAGAACGCGAGGTTAAACGGCAGGTCACGTGAAATCAAAGAGTCAGGAACCGACTGGCCGCGCCGCACGAACGCGACGACATTTTCTTGTAGGAACTAGAGGCATCGGGGACTTCCTTATTCACCGCACATCTCGTACGCTTAGCAGTGAGGTGAGTCGATATTTCAAGCTTGATTCTTTTCACAATGCATTGTTCTCCATCACGGTCATCACACCGTAAAGAAAGCTCATTCTCTGCTTTGGCAGCTCCATATCTGTGAGAGAAATCGACGGGACGTCGTGCTCACATGCTTTTCATGCTAAACTGCTCTGTATGTTTGCCTTGCTTTGATGCCTTTCAGCCCTCTGTCTGGCCTTTAGAGCTCAACCTTTACATGCTCTCTGACGTTTTATATGATGATAACCAGTGGCAACCTACAGGGGAATCCTCGCTGTGGGACGCTGCTGAGGGGCATCAAGATCGTATCCAAACATCACTTCGAATTTTCAGGCGTTGACCAGCGGCTCCCGTGAAGCACAATAAATAAGATCAGTGTTCAATACGAGGGGTGAAAGTCGCATCTAAGCCGTTTGTTCACCATGACTTTGACTTGTCGCGATTTCTCAAGCAGCACGATACGAGTTCCTCGAAATAACTGTCGGCATAAAGGCATCATTTAAACTTTGACGAACCACGGCCTAGCCTGCGTGTAAAATGCCTCAGAGTCGAGACACGGTATATAAATATATGAAATGGCTAACTTGTCCACTCTTCTGGCTCGAAAATGGTCAGATACTTTCTAGAACGCAGTCAATCACTGCACATCGGCCTTCTTGTACCACCACCCTCACTGCCTCAGCTATGACCTCCTCCAATGCATCTTTTGGATTCTTTCCCTCACTAATCGTACTTGCATCCACCTTCCTTCCCCAAGCCCACCCTCCCGATGCTGCCACTGCAATCTGTGCATAATCAGGCATATCAGGGCCGAAGCCGACTGTAAGCTGCTGCCCCAACACTTTCGAGCCATGTCCAGACGGATAAACGCCTAGCATAGATAACTTGGGAGATTTCCAGCCTCCGTTGTTCAAAATAACCGTCAGGAACGGCTGCAAAGTGTGAAAAACGAAATAACAAAAGAGACAATCAAGGTGAGCATTGTGTTTAAATAAACAAATGGATATACTCACCGTCTGATATTTTCGAGCCATCCAGAATGCACTGGCCGGTACTCCAAACAAAAATGTCCCGTCTCCCACTATAGACGCTACAAGTTCATAGCCTTGTTTCCCTGGGCCCTTCTCTGCCACTTTACCCCCAAGGAAGGCACCCACACTGGCGCCTAGCGCCCACCCAAGGGAAGATCCACCAGAACCAATCATCCCACCGAGAACCTCTGGCCTCATATGGCTCCAGACGAGCGGATAGTTGCTGATACTCTCATTGAGCATGAGTGTGTGTGCTCCTCCTGAAGGGGTTCCAGAGATGACAGCCCTGCGTAGAGCTGAGATCACCTGAGGGACTGTGTACGCAGGTATGGAGGACGTAAGGGAGGTAGGGAAAGACTCGGCCTTGTCAAGTTTCGCGACCCATTCGCTATGCATCTTTTCCATCTCGCGCGTACGTGCTTGAACGATAGCACTCTCTGCGATAATCACACCTTCTGTGCTGTCGCTATGTTGTATGGCTTCTACAATTTGTCCTAGTGCAACCTCTGCATCTGCGCGACAAACCATTTCAGCATCTACGTGATACATTCCAATATTTTCCTTTAAAGGATCTCCGCCATCGATAACAAATACTCTTGCATCTTCCTTTGGGCGCTCGTGATCGCCGTTCGAATCTTTGTTCATTGGGATCCAGGGGAGTTCTACATCAAGAACAAGGATAACATCTGCATCTTTGAGCAGAGTCGTTTGCGTCCCTGGTGCAAGATGCCCGACGCCCACATACAGCGCATAGGAGAAAGGCGTGTTAAGCACCGCTGGACATGGAACAAAAACCGGCATTCCTATTAACGAACAGAGCGCGCTCAATGACGTAAACACGTTTGTGTTGCGACCGGCATGAGAGGTAATAAGGAGAGGGTTCACGGCTTGACGAAGGGCTGCAGCTATGATGGCAGCAGCTATGTAACACTGAAATGTCAGTGGACTGCGATAAAATGTGGCAAGTATATTATACCAGAGTGGGACAATGCACAAGGCTCCACGGACGGCCATTTCAACATCGGGGCTGGAACTTTCAGGAGCCCCTCATCAATCTCTTGCTCCATCACCTCTCTGCGTCCCCAGAGGTAAACGGGGCCTTTCGGATCGCTCGTGGCGCTACTCGTAAATATATGACCATGAGTTACTGTAGGGAGCGCAGTGCAAAGCATGCATGTATAAAGGGAAGAGTTACTAACATTTGTAGCGCACGTCTTACGAGGTGCGGTAAATTGGCTGGAGAGTTAATCTGGGCCGTGTATCGCATGTACTGACGAAGGATAGCAGGCTGGTCATGGACATCTGCATAAAAGGTGCGTCAAACCCGCAGTACTGAGTACCTTCGCTGTCGTGCCAGATAGACTACTATGCTTATGACAGCTACTAATAATATCAAAACTTACCTTGCATCCAGTGGATCCATTCATTCCTCGATCCTTTGAGTTCACCCTCTGCAGAGAAAGGCGACGATCCAGCATAAATAAGCACAGGCGCTCGCCCTCTGTTCACATTGTGCACAGCACCCGCCAAAGCCTAACACCCAATTCAGTTATAGACGATCCAGGACTTTCACAATAGCCGGCCAGTATATGTATGATGAATGTTGGGCCGTGATGCGATCACTCACCTGCGTCCCCACATCCACATGTACGATCACTGCTGCAGGCTTACCTGTGACTTGGGTGTACCCCTGTGCAGCACTTAACGCAACCATCTCATTAGGACAAGTGACGATCTTTGGTTCTGTTTCGCCTTTCTCTACTCTTTGCCGCTCGAGATCCTCGAGTAATGCCGGATGATCAGAACCCCAGTTGACGAAGGCATGTGTGATGCCGACTTGAGCAAGAGTATTCAAAAAGAGGGATGATGTAGTGTACATCGTGGAGTCGAACTGTGTTGTGAGAGAGATTTCATTTGCAGAATTATAGAAATACCCTCAGGCTGGTTTTCGATACCCACGACCTTGCGGACTATTGATATCACTGACACGATATGGTTGACTTCGAAGGGAGTGCGAACCAGTCCCGTGCGCAAAACTAACCGCATCAAGTACTGGTCTTATGCAGATAGGGGACTTGTTGACAAGATGTTAGATTGCTGACTAAATAACGTAAAATAAGAGCATGACAGTTTAAGTGTTGGTTTGCAGAGAAAGTCAGAACCAAAAGCATTAGATCGTAGACGGACGACGGCGTATCTTGCTTGTCTCTATGACACTGAACAGGAGGAAAGAAGAGGTTTCCTCAAGTTTGCGATGGATTCGAGAGTTGATTCTGTTCGGCAACGAGGGGAAGAAGAAGCCGACCATGAGCAGGTGAGAGAGCGGAGCGGAGCTGCAAAGAGAAAACGTATTTTTCTAAAGACCGCGTGTGCCGTTTGTGGCTTCCTCCACTATATGGCTGAGCTTGGAGGATGAGAAAGGATGTGACGTTGACTGGAACGTCGAAGGCGGAGAGAATGGAACCAAATCGAAAAGAATCCGCGGAACTATGTGCTCGTAAGTCTCCGTGGTGCATTGTAATTTCCGAAAGTGCTGCGAAAAGATCTAGAAACTGGAGAAAAGCACGTTTTGTACTGTGACTAGTTTTGGATCAAAAACACGAGGCTGAGGCCGAGCAATGCAACCAAAAGGAGAGGAAAGCCGTTAAATGGGAGATCGTTGTGTTTTCTCTGAGGAAACCTTGAGAAACAGATGAGAAATGAAGAGGGGTGCAATCGGAGTTGACCAAATGGGCTTGAGGTTATATAATGGACTGTGTAAACCTACCTTAGGGTTATTCGGTCCGAGTTACATAGTAAAACTATTAGTAACATTACTTTGCGAATTACTATTGTGAACTTGAAGGTCATCATATAAAAGATCACACGGAAAACAGCCAAATGGCAGGCATTGTGCCATCTGGTTCCAGGACATAATTGTATTTATTTGATGTTTCTTCCATAGGAATAACCATTCAAACTTTGGTAGGATCACATTCCATTTCTGCACCTCGGAGACTCGGACTCACTAGAGCCATCATCCCAGCAGAAGTAGTCCCCCTGCGGCCATATTTATGCCTGAGCTGCAGCCGTACGTCATCTTTCACGCCCAGCGTTAATCCGTTTCTCCAAATCATGATATAAAGGTGACAGCCCTCGAAAACGAGGTGAGGCTCCAGGCCTACTCGTTTCTCGAGTCTGGTCCCCCCACTTGCATTTCATAGCCATGCCTGCAGATTTGCTCCCTCCATCTTATTCCAAGTCCATCTCCGCCCCATCCTACTCTCCATGCCCCCTTCCGGGGGAGCATACATTTTCTCACTTCAACTCACGCTCTTCGACGAATCATCATGCAACCGCTTTCACGTTCAACGAACCTCTTGTCTCTTTCAATCTGAAGAACTGTCGTGGAGTAAACGGTCTCCCTACGTATGCTCAAGGTGATCTCGTGCAAGGCCATGTCACTCTGGAGGAGAGAGAATCGGTCTTATCTGTAGCTATCAAGGTACTTACTTTTTCATCGCTGTAAATCGACAGCCATTCCTAATACCAGTCCTTGCCATAAGCTCGAGGGTCAAATGCTCGCAACCATGACCCGTTCACACAGTGTTGTCCTTTTTTCAAACGTACACACACTTTGGCGATGTGACACCTCGGCTGATAAGTTCTGCCCAAGGTCCATTCCATTCTCTCTCGTCTTTCCTTCGGCGTACAACGATCACGCGCTCAAGCAGATGTGCCCTTTGCCACCATCTTGTAGTTTCTCTTGGCCCCAGGCTTATTATGCACCATGTCCTGAAGTGTCATGTGTTTACACAATGACCGTGATTGTAATCAAAGTGCATAATCGCCTGTTCCTGAGGAAACACACGAGGTAATGTTGTCTCAACTTGGTAATGTGTATATGGTAGCTTATCTCTTGCCATAGGACGTCATCTGTCACTGCGACTTTAATTTACAGCCCCGTTTCACGTCCCTTTCCGTCCATTCCAGTTTCCAGGAACTTCAGCGGATGTGAGAAGTCTTCTGGGGAATGGCATAAGGAGACTTGGATATCCAAGGCTAGTTCAGGGGCTTCCAAGCTTTCGCCTATACAATGCCAAGTAAGTCTCCCCCATTCCTTGATTAGTGGATCGAACGTCAACGGTCGCTTCCCATTTTCCATTTTAGTTTTCGTTCCCATCCTCGCGAGATTTTGGCGCATCCGAAACGATACCCTTCCGTCTTCGTCTACACGCCCTTCCATCTTCGCTGAAGGCCCTCCTCAAATACAATTCCCCTGTTCGAGTCTCCCTCACTCGACGAATTATTATCAAATTCCCCGAAAGCAGAATGTCGGAAGAGTATGTACTCGGCGACGGACAACTCGACCTCCGTTCTTCCCTTTCTGTCTTGAATGCGTGCGGTGCGGAGCGTGTCACGCTAGATTGGGATGGCAAATTGTGTTGTACCAAGCCTGATGGTATTACCAACAGCGGGTTCGTTACTAACGAATTAACAGTCCAGGTTTGTCCAATTTCACCCATTGAGTTTCTCCATTAGTCAGGCTGTGGACCGTTACTGATTATTACCATGTTTTCCAGGATTTCATCACCGTATCTCTGGCCCCATTCAAGTCTTCTTCACTGGAGCTCCAACGCAAGATTCCGATCAACCTTGTCGTCAAACCTTGAGGGCTCACATGAAATTTCAACACCCCGACTCCCAGTCACAGTTCAACAGACAAGGCAGATCAGTACTCGATCAGTTTGCACACTGATGTCATTAGGCAAATATAAATGTAGCTGCGTCCCCTTCATCAACATGTATTAATTAGTTGGGGTGGTAGCTTCAGGACATTTTCTACTCTTTCATCTAACTTATCACAATGTGGGGGTGGGGGCTAGCCAAATTCTCCTCACGATCACCAGTTTATGATTACATATCACGCTGAGGTGGACGAACGCCACGGACGTCTAGGTACGATCGGAGATATCATATATCATGTTGAAGGTTTAGGGGACAGTATTATGTACCTTCTTTCATTTGCGATAGCGAGGTAGTTTTGACACGTGGACCTGCTTTGTACTTGTACGATTTTATTTCTGTGCCACACTCATTGTCAAAATGATCATATTCGGAACAGACATATGATGGTAGTGTGCAACTTAGCTTCTGGGATCAGTTGTAGCTCGAAAAAAGGTTCAGGGTGAGTCATACGTGAACAAGCTATATGTCTATATGTGATCCAAGACGAACCACAAGCATGGCGATCGCCACAGCATGACCATGGCTTGAGTGCCTGCTCCTCAAAATGGTAGAGTGTATCACGACTTATCATTTAGTACTAAAATTTGCGAAGATGTGATTTCTAAACATTCAACAGATATTTTAGCTTTCCCATACAAGACTGTTTCTTCAGCAACGGCAAACTGACTGCTAGTATTACCAAATACCATCTAGTGATATTCAAATATTGATCGTGCCCCGTTTCTCCTGAGTCGAGTCGAGGCTCGGCACTGCACCCCACTAACCCGACGATTCAAAGCTGCCTCCTATGTAAGACTTCCTTTCTAACATTATGACCCGATCGAACATTCAGCAATGGCTTAGCTAGATTGGGAGTCCATTTTCGCCGATCAGTACAACGTGCGTCTTAATAGCTGTTCTTCGAGAAAAGCCAATTATGGATGTGCATGTATGGTGACCGTAACGAGGGAATGTCAAAAGATAGTCAAGAATGCTCCCGACACGCTGGTACAAACGCTAGTATGCACTTATCACAATCTCAATGTTGAGTACTGAGCATCATGGCAGTAATTGGTTACCTAGTCTCACGATTCAGTCATGAGTGCAATAGTCTACATTAGATCGTTATTGATTTGAATTAGACCGAAGGACACGGTAGCTTACATGAACAATGCGGAGTACACTTATAGGGTGCATCCTCCATTGCAGTAGCACAAATGCTCATTCCAGCTTTATACCCCAAACCCCTTATTCATCATCCTCACAACCCACCGCACAAACACGAGGCTGCATCCAGCTGCTCCGTGCACCAATAGAAGTTCCCCACTTGTTCCTTAAACCACACCGCGTCTTCTGGCAATAGCCGAGGACCCCATCCAACGACTGCCAGAGTCTTGATCGCGTGTACAGGCTTTGGGACCCTATGCAGGGTCTGCTGGAGTTGGTCTGCATCGTAGTCATCTGCAGCCTTTCGTCTCGCAGCTACCATGTTTTTAAGTGCTTCGACAGAGAAACCAGTGCAACCGTCGATGGAGAGATACTGGAGCATCGGGCACATAAATCTACCGTCTTGGTCCTCGGTTCCAATAATGGACATTTCGTGTAAAAAGGCGTCGTCGACAAAGGAAGAGGACCCGAGGGTAAGGTGGAAGCCGTACCAAAAGAAGAAATCCTCGTAGGCGTCTTTCGCCGCTGTGACGTTTCGAAGCTCGAGGGAGAGTGAGTCGGGGAGTAGCTCTGGAAAAGTTAACATAGCTTTGGTTATGTGTACTGTTCCAAGGTCTGCGAGCACGCAGTGGTGAAGTCCGGACAGAACGGAGTTGCTGATGTTGTGCAGATGCATAGTCTTCAAGTCTTCGAATTCAAATAAAGGGGGTTCAAGGTCCTCGTCCCAGTCGCAAACCATCTCCACATTGTTGAGGGTAAGGGATTCGAGAAATGTAACGTTTTGAAGTGCATCGAGCGCACGAACGATTGACAAGTTGTCACGACTATACTTTTCGAATCCAATAGTTGAGATGGCAATTTCAAGAGCAGAATGGAACCAAACAGAGTTTTCCATGCACGCGATACGGAAATTACGCCCATCGATATCTAGGTAACAGAGAACAGGGCACATAAATTTTGGGTGCACACATGGGTCGTAATTCGTCCCCGCTTCGTCATCCTCGCGGCATTTCAAGGAAAGACATCTGAGTTGACTTGCTAGGCCGTATAGATCGTACCCGATTTTGGGAAGCGAGGAGCTCTTGATAACGGAGATATCAAGCTGGTTGCAGCGGTAAAGGCGTGGAAGCAAAAGCTCAAGTATGGCCTTGACTCGGGTTTTCTCGGACGGGTCTTCACCCTTGAATGTGTTTTTCCTTTTTGTTATTTTGAGATCAAACAGACGACCACGGGACCACGCAAGGAGAGATGAGACCACAGAAAGAGGCGTTGGAGGAGAATCGACCACCGCGACAAATTTGATCCAGAATTCCGAGGTTGATGACAGTATGTCCCGCCAGCGGGTACATACGTGAGTGAGAATGTACATGTAAGAAGAAGGAGTCTGATAATCCCCTTGCTCGAAACAAGTCAGGTAATAATCGTCGTGGAGCATTTTGAAAATCCCGAGGAGTAATTCAGTAGGTAGTGAATGGGTTGAAGCCTTAGATAGGGCTGCGGGGTATGGGATATTTAACCGTCCCAGAGACCTTGGGTAACTCGTTGCATTTGCAAATTCATGATTCTTGCCGCGTTCAGCAATATCTAGTGGTAAGTTTGTAAGGCTACTCAAAGGCTACAGTGACGTTGATAAGATCGTGTATAAGATACGGAAAAGTTACGTACGAGCTTGTTCATACTATTGGAGGAATAAACTGGGTGAGCTATCTCCAAGAAATGGACGTGAAATCAGTTAAAGTTGGGATGAAATTGAGGTACACCAGACGCTGACGAGAGAGAGGTTTTTATAGCATGGCTAGTGGCCATGCCACCAATCGTGGTGGCAGACATAGACGAAAAGGCCCCTTCATCGACAAAGCTCCTTTTCCCACACCTTACGATACATTAATCTTTCTATTCATGTTGTTTGTCGTCCCGTAACGGTGTTTCTCAGTCCAGATATCCAAAGAACACCGCATCATGAACGCAGATGGTCCCGAGAAGACCTGGTGTTCCTGTGCCGTTAGAAGTGAGACCTTCGACGCAGCAGTTCTCTGGCTCGGGCATGCTGAGATAAAGATGCATGGCTTCTAATAGCTCTCTGGGCTCGGACCGGGCTTCTTAACACGATAAAGACTCGTGCATGGGAAACATTCTGAGATTGTGAGCGATATCGTGTGTAATGTTCTCCTGAAGCCTTTGGACGCCAGTGGGTATGTTTTATGGGGCCTGGGGCATGTTTGTGTCTCGATATGCATATGTTTCGAGTGGTTGCTGTGACGTGTCAAGAAATAAGCTTTGTTTTTAATTGCCGTGGTGGTATGGAGACGTGGCTGGATTGGGGCAGCCACAGCGTGATACTAGGTTCGGACTCGCACGAGAGTCCTCATGGTACTGAGACCTAAACATACAACACAGGAACTGGGCTTTTGGGGCTACAGATCCCATTCGTATCCGTGATGCATCCATCATATGGCACATTTGCAGGTTCCTCTCCAGCAAGACAGGCACTTTTAGGTGTGCTCGGCCAGCTTTCTTGAGCTCGCCCTCGTGTCGCAATAGAGGGGCAAGCGTATCTTCCGCGTGGGTGCATTGTTTGATGCCAGTATCATTGCATGTGGTCTCTCTTCTTGTCCCTGTCATAATGCTGATGTTGGCCAATGCGTTCATTTACTCTATCAGTCATTATCGATCCATCTTCATGGCGGACCTCTGTATTGTCCTGATATAGGCACTTGTATATCTGTCTGCGCGTCTTGCTTGCAGCGTTCACATGCGTTATTTTCGAGGAAGCGGTATCTCGGTTTCAGACAAACTGGGTGAATCATTATAGCGCTCAGCCCATTTAAAAGCATCCCATCTCACCTCCCATCAGAAGCAGGACGCTTTGCCTCTTCCTCCCACTAAGTTCGTGACGATACTCTAACGCCGCCCTTTGCGTAAGATGTTCCCTCTTTCAGCGTTCATTGCGTCAAGCATATACCTCGCTCAGGTCCATGCTTTCACCAGCTCTAACTATGATAACGTGCGTAGCTATCTTCCCTTATCGCGATCTTCCTCAGCTCACACATTCACTTTAGGTCGCAGTGTATGATAAAGTTACCTCCGCACTGGTACGAGTTACTCATTATAAGTATCCAGGTACTGGGGCCAGAATTCTTACGGCGCTGCCAATCCTACCGGGACGGCCGGGTTCCAACAACCGATTTCGTACTACTGCCAAGTGAGTAGTTTAGCTCAATCACTCTATCTTCTCTTCTGATCCTTCCGACAGGATGACGCAATCGATGCCATACCCGTTGCATTCGTGAACACTTTCTTCGGTACTGGTGGGCTACCCTCTATGAACCTCGCCAACGTATGTTTTTCTCGATGCTCTCGCTTCATGTATGCGTGCTAACTCATCTCGTCAGACATGTAACCCCACGGACAACGCCACTTTCCCTGGCACCGGACTTGCAAACTGTTCTGCTTTGGCATCCGACATCGAATACTGCCAGGCTCAGGGGAAGATCGTCACTATTTCCCTTGGTGGTGCAGGTGGCAGTGTCGGTTTCACGGATGATACTGAGGCACAGACCTTTGCTCAAACTAGTGAGATTTTTTCAGCCGCTTCAATGTATCATAACTGATGATCCGAAGTTTGGGACCTTTACTTGGGTGGAACCAGCACCACCAGGCCTTTCGGAGCTGCGGTCCTTGATGGGTAAACTGATTTGTGAAATTCGACTGAACCTCCATCTCACTTTTGTTCCATTCAGTGTTGACCTGGACATCGAAAACGGCGGATCTACAGGTTACGCTGCCTTCGTCACCGAGATACGTAGCTTGTCTAGCGGCGCCAGCAAGCCGTAAGTGTACAATTATCAATATTCTCAATCTCAGTTGCTGACGTTGTTTTCAAGATACTACATCACAGGTGAACATCATTAGTCGGCAATACTCTAAGGACGTCACCGACATTTATTTACTTTTGTCTGTTCACAGCTGCACCCCAATGCCCATTCCCGGACCAGAACCTTGGTTCTGTGATCGATCAAGTTGGTTTCGATGCTATCTACGTCCAGTTCTGTGAGTACAAGGTCTAGATGCCCGATCTATCATGTTATTAAGTATTGCTATAGACAACAACGTGTGCGGACTCCAGAACTACAATGTCGTCGCAGTAAGTTTTGACTTTGGCTCATTGTGACCGGTGTCTGACAAACATTTTAGGACTGGGACTTTGGAACATGGTAAGGGTATCCATTTTTCTAGTACGCGGCTGCATACGAAATTTGTTTCTTGTTTACAGGGACATGTGGGCCAGCCAAGTTAGCCCCAACCCCGATGTATGTCTGCTTTCATTTCTATAAAGAGTGGAATCTTGATATCAAATTATGGAAACCAGGTCAAAATCTACGTCGGTGCACCCGCTTCCAGTACAGCTGCAGGAACAGGTTACCAATCCATCTCCAATCTCAGCACGATCGCCACAACTATGCGTAAAAGCTTCCCATCGTTTGGTGGAGTGATGCTGTGGGATGCATCTCAAGCATACGGTCAGTCTCCATCCTCTGTCGAGCAGTTGATCCTTCTTATTTATCAACGAATGAATATTACGCCAGATAACGATCGTTACGATCTTGGGATCAAGAACGCCCTTGTTGCTGCTGGAGCCACCGGATTCACTTATCCTGCTTGCACTGCCCCTGCTTATGTCTCGGGCAGTGATTACACTGGAGGCTCACAAGTTTCGTACAATGGCTATATGTGGCAGGTGAGAAATCGTACATTAAAAACATTTGATCTCGGCGTTTACTGGGTGCTGCTCAAATAGGCTGACTACTGGACCAATGCTACCCCTAGTAACTCGAGCAGCGGCGATTGGAGTGCCAGTAAGAAGAACATCTGCATATGCTCAGTTTTTGTTGATATTAATGTGTTTTCCCCTCTATGTAGTTAGTGTGTGTACTGGAACGTCCACTGCGACACCAACGTCCACCAGCAGTGCTGCATCTACGAGCGCTACTTCGAGCACGGCCTGCAGTGGCATAGCCGCTTGGTCATCTTCAGCTGTTTACACTGCAGGAGATGAAGTATCTTACAAGTAAGTTTCATATATTTTTGAGAAGTTCAGGAACTCTCCTAACTTAAACCTGTGTTACAGCGGAAACATCTACACGGCTAACTACTGGACGGAGAGCAACATTCCATCTGGTAAGCAGGAATTCCATTTGATGCTCCAGATGATCAAGATGTTGATACTGATCTAAAAAAAAAATAGGTACTTCTGGAAGCTGGACTGAAGTTAGCTCTTGCACGACTACCACCGCGGCTCGAATGATGTCGCGATTCTTCAGGTTCTAAGTCTGCACGTGCTGAAAAGGAGAAATAGGAGAATACGACGTTTACGTTTTCGCGAGATTCTTTTTGCGCTCATTTGCAGTGCCCCCGGATCTCCGTTGTATGACTCGTGACAAATGACTGAATGAGAAGTGATGGAATGAGAAGTGATGGAATGAGAAGTGATGAAAGGAGCAATGAGGGATTCTATATGGTTATGAATCCGCGATGATTTGGGTTACGCCTTTTTGTTTTTTTATTAAATTTTGGGATCAATAAATTCATTAATACTCTCATAAAGGCTTGGATCAATGAGGCCTGTGCAAATCTTTGTATTGATTGCAGACTGCGGGACCCTGTACTTACGTTCACTCCCACGGAGCGAAGTTCACGATAAGCGCCTTTCAATCGGCCACCGCCTCAAAAACCGGTGTTTCCGACCACCAGTGGGAGAATACATGCAACATGCTCAAATTCGCAGTCACGTCTACTGATCACTAGACAAAGAATTAACGCCCATGCTTTGATCGTATCTATGTATATAAACTCTCTTTTTCTCATGTGCTGCAATTTTGTCAGAATCCCCACTTACAACTTGTTGAAAGTTAGGTCACGCCTGGGCCACCATGCGATTCAAGGCATTCACAGAATTCTTGATACCAGCTGCCTACTTTTGTGTGGCGCTAGCTGGTCAAGTACCTAGGGCGAATGGCGTGCCAGGTGGTGTTTTGGCGAAGAGACTATCTTCTAGAGACCTCGCCGCAGCTGTGACCACTAACTCATCATCTCCCACTGTAGGAAAACTGCGTATTACCTCTGAGAACTCTAGCATTTGTGGTACGTCCATCCATTTCGATAAAAGTTTATACGTTAACCCCTGCTCACTCTTGGTCATCGTACTGGCAGAAACAACGCCTGGAGTATATCAAGCAGCCGGGTATGGGGACATTGCAACAAACAAAAGTATGTGGTAAGTCACGCGTCTCAATGCCATCGTTGTATTGCATGGGCTTTGCTGATATGATAGAAATCGCGTTTGATATTTTAGGTTTTGGTTCTTCGAGGCTAGGAGCAATCCAAGCACTGCTCCCTTGGTTTTATGGTTCAATGGAGGCGTGAGTGCCCTCATTCTGATTTCGAAGCCTCGTCGTATATTAGGATATTTATTATTCTCTTTAGCCTGGCTCCTCCAGCATGCTGGGTCTTTTCCAGGAGAATGGTCCCTGCCGTATCACGAATGACAGTTCCAGTGTGACGCTCAATCCCTATTCTTGGAACAACAATGCCAATGTGATGTACATTGACCAACCCATCGGCGTGGGATTCTCGTACGGAGTCACTACCGTCGGAACGTCTGAAGAAGCTGCCGCAGACGTGTGGACGTTCTTGCAAATATGGCTGCAGGACTCGAGATTTACGACTTACCAAGGCCGTGATTTGGTTGTTTCGACTGAGTCTTATGGTGGCCACTATGGGCCTACTTTTGCATCGTAAGTACAGTAGGTTGCATAGGTATGAAAACGGCTAACGAGTTCTCTTATGCTAGGTATTTCCTCTCACAAAACGAAGCCATTGCGAACGGCTCTGTTTCAGGTCTTGACCTCAATCTGAAGGTCCTTACCATTGGCGATGGCTTGACTGTGAGTTTATGCTACCAAGGACTTGGATTCGGGCCTCCTATAACCCCCTTTTCTTGCGAACCTCCAGGATCCAATTACTCAATATCCACAATATATTGTCTTTGCTGGAAATAATTCTTACCATCCATTGGTGAATAGCTCTGTGATTGAACAAGCAAACACGTCATACACCCAATCCGGTGGCTGTGAAGATCAGGTATGTGTTTCTCCTGGAAACACACATCCGCTCATGCCTACTCGTGGATTCAGATCATTGCTTGCAACAACAATGGGAGCAATGCGATATGCTCTGGCGCACAAAACTTCTGCAATAACTATATACTCGAACCTTTAGCTGGGAACTATGACGTGCGCAATAACTTTTTTCTTTGATTGTCATCCATGTCGGATTTCTAACTTATCGTCATAATTTATAGGTTTACTACATCTTGGCAGAAAACCCTGACCCATACCCTCCGGATCTCACTTCCTATCTTGCAGGCATCCAAAGTACTATCGGCGCTGCAGTTACATGGGCAGAAACCAATGATACGGTCTATGCCAATTTTTCCAGTACTGGTGATTGGATGAGGACGTCTAAACCCGATCTTGAATCTGTCATTGACAGTGGGATAAGGGTGTTGATATACGACGGAGATGCTGATTATATATTGAACCATGATGGAGTTGAGGCAATGGTGAGTGCGACGATTGAAACAACTGTTACTGAAGATAACCTGACGCGGTATATTCGCATGCTAGATCAACAGCCTCAACACAACATCATCTGCTTTGTACGCCCAGCAACAGTTCAGCCCATTCGTCGTCAACGGGACTGAAGCAGGTCTTATCAAGAACGCCGACAATTTCACTTTCGTTCTGATTTACGGCGCAGGACACGAAGTTCCTGCATACAAGTATGGCAATCTCTCGTATGGCCAGGCAGCTTCACAGATGTTCGAGCTGGCCATTTCCGGCGTTGTAAATGGAACTGATCCTGGGAATGGGACTATCACCAAGTCTTCGTCAGCGGTGAGGTTCGGATCTTCTATCTTGCTGTCGAGTCTTTCGTTCTTCTTGGCTGTTTTTTCTGCATTCACTCTACTCTGAATACCTATGTAACACCGAGTAAAATATCTAACTGGTCTTTCTTTGCCTTAAATACACAATGCTTTGGAAGGACGATGAAGTATAGTCTACGCATTTTGTTTTCCACCTATCATGAACGACAACATCTAGCTTTCGGAACAATAGCCAGTCCTCTGCCGCCTTTATGACAGAGTCGCTGCAGCTTATACATGGTGTCGTGGACGTCTACTCGATTGTCGGTGGGACAGGCGCCGAAACGCTGCAAAAAAAAAGAGCTCTCCCTGCATACGTATCACTTATGTCGAACCACCTACATGCCAAATCATGACAAAAAGGACTTCAAGCTCGTCGTGTCAACGCAAGTGCTTCCAATGTTTTCGATCCAGGGGATCCACGACCATGAATGAAGGGGCGTCCATTTGTCGCCTCGGTCCAGCTTACTTTCCGATACTTGCAAGGTCGAAGTGACCAAGAACACCTCACATTGTACCATCCTTTAGGCCTTGGGGTGACACATCACATTAGTGTGGCTAACATCACCATGGGGTATGTCGGCCTTTCCAGAGCCGTCTAATACTGAATAACATGTTAACGAGAGCACGTGCGAAGATACAAAGCTTGCCTTTATGAAGACGTCCTGATATTCTGGCAGCTATGCCTTTAATATTGTTCAAGTTTCCTAGTAAGAAAAGATCCTGATGAAAGATGACTGCCTGCTGTGCACAAATTCTTCGAAATGGTGAAACGGTCGATTTGTCTTTCGAGCTTTTGAGACATTCCTTAACACCTGTAGAAGTGTAAAACGCGTAAAACGCGAGCCCAAATGGCTCACGGGCCTCTAAATCTCATTCAAATTAACCTTGAACTGCAAGCGAAGTTTCAGTATACAGATAAAAGGGTGTTAAACAGCGCTCAATTTATGAAAAAGTCCACTTATGTAATACTACTGTCCTTTTTTCTCCATAGCACCTCTAATCTCGCTCTCTGTTACCATACTCATGATCCGGGCCTGATCCGCGACACCTTTGAGGACATCGAGTACCTGCTTATTTCCACCCACAAACCCAAACTCGGCGTAAGTAAGCCCTTGCTCCTTGGCGAATTCTTTCACAAAGACGCTAGCTTGGAGAAGATTATGTCGTGGTAGACGCGGAAAGAGATGATGAGTAACTTGAAGATGTAAGCCACCGTGAAGGAAGGCGAGTGCTGGGGGACAGATGACGTCCGTAGTTGTCCTCAGCTGACGGTGTGGGAACGACTCCATAGGTCCAAGGTCCTCGGTTGACATTGAGAAATGGGAAAGGACGATCTGCAGTATACAGGTCAGAACCACACAACATGACGAGATTGAAAATGATATTTATACCTGAACGTGCAAAGGAGTCGTCACGACGTGACTGACCAGCAGATAAGTCAACGCTTTAGACCAGCTTCCGCAGCCTATCAACACCGCTCCAAACCAGGTCCAGAAAAATAATAAGCCTATAATTTCAAGCCACCATGACCAACGTCCGCCCTTGGCTCGCTTGTGATCGAAAGCTTTCCGAAATAGAAATCCGTAGGCTAACGCATATAGGTTAAACCGACCGAACCCCAAAAGGACATAGAAAAGCTTGTGTTGTAAAGAAACTATGAAAGCAGTAAAGCGATTGAAAGTCATGATACGTTTGTGATAAGATGACCATAACGAATTGAAAAATGCAGTCGATATAGCCAGGAAGGGTAAATGTTCGATGTCAGGATCGCTAGTAAACGAGGATGAATAACGTTAAGGGAGGTAAATGATAAAAAGTGGACCAACTGTGAAGGATGGTTTGTTACCACTATAGCCTAAGTTAGCGACGCAAACTAAGGTGACAAGGAAAGACGTACAGTGATGTACATTGTGATTCTTGTCGAAATTATGAGAAAAAGTACAGTTGTATTAAAATAATAAAAATTGGGACTTACATCAACCCACCAACCGACACTCAAGCCACCAATAAAATCTGCAAGTATGATAGCGATCAGACGATCTACCGTCCAGTTATGCGTGACGCCCATGTGTCCCAAATCATGTACAGTAAAGACAAGCTGATGCCATAGTAAACCAAGACAGACGGCGCTTGTTATGAGCCAGTTATGGGTATAAGCGACAGCCGATACAATGGCCAAGAGGGTATAGCGAGCAATTTCAGGGCCATAGCCCGTGGCATAGCGAGTTTGATATAGACCAGCATCGATGATACGTTTGTGAAGTCGTTTATAAGCTGCAGAGTGCTGTGATTGTACTTTGAGAGATAACTCAGTTGGAGGAAGAATTAGATCAGACATAGTTGGTCCGCGAGTTTGTGCCAGCGTGCTGTCGCCTGTGCCGACGAGAAGAACCTCAGAAGGGACGGTGCTGTGCGCGGTGTTTGCTTCGCGGAACCATTCTAGTTTACCATCTCTACCAGCTTTCCTGGTCCAACCGATCATTGTGGGTGGAACGAATGGTTCCCAGCCGTGCTCTGTCGTCTCCACCGTTCCCACTACATAGTACTTGAGTAGCCGCTGTAACGCGATATCCGAGTGGTACGCGTCTATTTCATCCGTTGCATCGCGTCCTACAAAGTGAAGAATTGCGAGAGAACCACCGGGGTGAGCGTCCAGCCATGCTTGGGGGATGGAGAGAAGTAGCTTGTTGTAAATGACCAGCGTTTTGCCAGCCACAATCTGAGCTGCGACCTGCTCTCGGGTCCATAGTGGTTTGGTGGAACCCATCTGTGATTGTTGCTTGGAATGGTCCTCAAGCTCAGGATGAAGCACTAGTACTGGTTGGTTAAGTACTACAAGTTAAGTACCTTGGCTGTCAGGGATACCAGCGTGGACTATTTGGTTTTTGCGGCTCCATTCATTGCCAGCTTTAGATAACAACAGACCACAACAACTTCTGCCACGGACATCCTGGCTTTCGTTCTTTGAGGCTCGGATCGGCATTGCGCTTTTAGTCAAGATTTAAGTAGCGGTCTATGAAGCTAAGGTTTGGTAAGTTTTTAAACGTTGTTCGTCCGATGATCTTCTGCTGAAGTGACTCGTACGCGTGTAGGTCCTCGTGCCAGCTTCTAGACGTAATAATTCAGCACTGGCACCTGCTCGGTTTATTCGAGTCATAACCATCATGCTAATATACTTATTCTGATCGCACGCTTTGAAATTGTCGACTCATTCCGTGTGAAACCTCTCACCAATCCAAAACATGGCAAACCAACCGTTCTAACCGCTCTTTACGTGATAGGGGCCTCTGTCCGTTTAAAACCATGACTTTGGCATAGTCAAAGCTCTTAAGATACATCATGCAAGCCAAAATCGCAGCACTTCAGGCGTGCCTCGCTGATCGCACCCTTTATTGCGGTGGCACTTTCTCTGTCTCTCCTGATGAACTTGTGTTGTACTACGGAAAGAACGATGATGAGCATTCTCAGTAAGTTTCACTAGGAGTCAAGGGAAGTTGCGAGGTTCTGACAAGGCATATACAGTCGCATCAACTTTTCTCGCGCGTCTGAAGAACAGCTGGAACTCCTTTCACAGACATGCCAGCCTGCTACTTTTGGCGTTAATCAACAGGACGTGTTAGACGAGTCATATAGGAAAGCTGGGAAGATGGATACTACCGATTTTGCGACTCGGTTCAGTGCTGAAAGTGTGGGTCTCGTCGATGTCATTCGAAAGCAGTTACTGCAGGACAGTAACCAAGATAAAGGCATCCGCCTTGAGATGTACAAGTTGAATGTTTATGGTAAGTAAATTTTTTCAAATTATATTTTGGGGCAGCACACTGATGTTGTATTGATGCTCAGGAAAAGATTCCTTCTTTAAAGCACATCAAGATACTCCACGCGGTCAAAATATGTTCGGATCTCTGGTCATTGTTTTCCCTACCAACCACGATGGAGGTGCACTTGTCTTGCGACACGGTGGGAAGGAGTGGACGTTCGACTCTTCCGGGGCTATCTCAGCAGCCTCTGGGCCGTGCGTCGGTTATGTTGCATTTTACAGCGACGTTGAACACGAAGTCACCTTGGTCAAATCGGGCTATCGTGTCACTATCACTTATAACCTCTACTTCGAAGACGAATCCAAAGCTATGGTTTCAGTAGATCCAGCACCAACTTCCTACGAAATAACCATGAAGGCTGCGTTGTCTGACCTGCTTAGCGACCCTGGTGTTCTTCCAGAAGGTGGTTATCTTGGATTTGGGCTGCGCCATCAGTATCCTGTCAATTCTGAGACGGATATCCAGAACCTTGTTGATTGCTTGAAAGGGTCAGATGCTGTCATCGCTAGCATATGCGACCAGCTCGCCCTACCATATTCGCTCAAAGTGTTTTATCGTTCCCCTGGATGGGAATCATCCATGTCAACGACAAATGTACTTTTCAACGAGGTCGTTGACTTGCGTAACTGGATTGAGGTAGAGGATGTTGTGAAAGAAATGCTGAATTGTTATGACGGGCAGGTTGTGAAGTTCGTGGGTGAAGGCGGCGTGCCGCTTGGCGAGAGCATGTACTCGGACTCAGACTCGGACTCGGACTCGGAAGAAAAGTATATTGATGTTTTGGAAGTTGTGGACATGAATTCGGTGCAGGAGATAGAGACGTGCTATGCCGCATACGGCAATGAGGCATCCGTGGGTCATATATACGGACATATCTGTTTGATGGTCAAGGTGGAGGCTATCAAGAAATCAGAAAATCATGTCGTGGCGCGTCATAATTGCGGGAGTGTACATGCGTAAAAATGTAATTGTCGCGTTTCTATAAGTTTTTACATAGACAACAATTCATTAATAGTACTCATTTCTCGTGAAAATACAAGAGGTCTATAGTAAGAGTCGTCGCAAGAATCATCGCTCAACTATTGTTTTTGGTCGGCCTTTTGATCACAATCAGTGACATTGACATTCTCGGGAGGTGTATCTCAGGCTATACAAATTGTAATTGCACGCACGCTGAACAAGCCATAAGGGACAAAAATGAGTTGTGGTCAGAACTTCAATACTCTTGAGTGAACGATGTCCGGTAAAGCATCAACAATCGCAGTATTTGTCTAATGCCGCACGATCAACTTCTGGTTATGTGCACCAGGATAACGTTGGATCCTAACAAAGGAAAACAAGGTGTAGTACCTGCTTGTCTGCGGCCAAGCCGCCTCTTGAGTATCCTTCAACGGTCTACTGATAACTGAAATTCTGCCACTATCAATACAGCCCATACTTACGACTAGAGACTACCGTGACAGTGTCGTAACCTGCTCTTTCAGGTCGGGTATTGCATTAATAAAACACGCCTTTGAATTGTATCCGGCTTTGGAGGATCATGGTCAGTATGTCAACAATTACATAGCACCGATACTGACAATAAATCTAAGGTAGAACAAAGGATTTGATAGTCCTCTACAGCAGCGATTCCATACCTTCAAATCCATGTATTGCCAGTGGGCCTCCGGACCGCTTGCATAGGGCGAAGATTATGTACACCGGTCAGAATCTCAGAGAACCGCAACATATCGTATATTGCCTCTGCCGATATGACTGACTCAACCTCTCCATGCACTTCTTGTAGATTTCCGATACAGTTCGGTGGGTCCAGTTATTTGTTATTTTACAGTCGAATGACTCAGGCCCATCTGCCTCGTTCCAGCTTCCAAAAAGCGTGTTCAGTCCTTGTTCGATTGTTCGAGTCAGAATCTTTAATATTCATGGGAAATCCTTGATTTTTTGACTCGGTGCATGAGAAAGTGGTTCGTATCGTGACGAGTGATATGGCATATCCCTGGATTGCATGGGATATGGCTACTCGTATTACGCGACGAGGACTTCTCCTTAGCATATAAGGCCACAAAAAATATGGCAGAACGACACCGCACGTATTGCTCCCTACCATGGAAAAGAAACTCGCAGCATCGAAAGCTTGCCTTGCCGGCCGAGCTCCGTATTGCAGTGGCACTTGTGCTGTTCCTAGCGAAAAACTTGTGCTCTACCACGGTAAACAGGGCAACGAACATTCCTAGTGAGTTTCTGACCCATATTGAAGTCGTGTATGATCTGAAAGGAGATTTTCAGTCGAGTTGACTTATCTTGCACGCGCGTGCCAGCCTGCTACCTTTGGCGTTAACCAACAGGATATATACGACGAATCTTATAGAAAGGCTGGAAAGTTGGATGTTACTGATTTCGCTACGCAATTCAATGCCGAGAGCGCAGGTCTCATCGATGTGATTCGTAAAGATTTGCTACAAGGCAACAACGAGGATAGAGGTATACGCCTTGAAATGTACAAACTAAACGTGTATGGTGAGTATTATCGCAAGTTTTCCATAGGTCTCCGAGTGGCGTATTGACACTGCGATGAATGTGAATGCACAGGCCAAGATTCTTTTTTCAAGGTACACAAAGATACTCCACGCGGTGAAACAATGTTCGGTTCACTGGTAATCGTTTTCCCAACCACACACGACGGAGGTGCACTCCTTCTGCGTCATGGCGAACATGAATGGACGTTTGATTCAGCGAAAGTTATCGCAGAGGCCTCTGAGCCGTGTGTTGGCTATGTTGCATTGTACAGTGATGTCGAGCACGAGGTTACCCTGGTCAAATCGGGTTATCGTGTCACTCTGACTTACAACCTCTACTTCTGTGACCATATCAACTCATCGATTCGATCTGCCCCATCTCCGTACGAAGCTAACCTCAAGGACGCACTGATGGACCTCCTTCGTGATCCAGACGTCCTCCCGGAAGGTGGCTATCTTGGATTTGGCCTATGCCACCAATACCCTGTCACAACGGAAACGGAGATCCAAAATCTGCTGCCTGAAAGGATCAGATGCTGTCATCTCCAAGCTTTGTGACCAGCTCTCTCTGCCATACACTCTCCAAGTACTTTACCGTGACATCAGTCATAGCTGGCCGAAAGTGCACGTACTTCTTCACGATGTCGTGGATTTCTCTCATCCCGAAGTGGAGAACATTGTGTTGGAGATGTTTAGCCGTGATGGTTCACGAAGAGTGAAGTTTGTCGGGGAAGTCTATGAAACATTTCCCGATGAGAGTGTTGCTTGTCAAGATAACGATTACTACTATGAGGATGAATGCGACTTTGGACCCCGTGATGCTCCTTGCGTCACCATCATGGAGGTGGCAAGTATGAAGTCAGTAGTTGACGTCGAGACGCCGTACATCGCATATGGCAACGAGGCTTCGCTGGTTCACATATACGGGCATGTTTGCTTGCTGGTGGAAGTAAGAACGCCAGAGGATCGCTACACAAAGTGACACACTCGCTCAAGTAGTATCGCTCAAGTGTTCGTAAATTGCTGGGATGCCGCTTGGACCTAGTCTCCTCTAATCAGACCTTCACAAAGGAATGTTTAGCTTGGACCATTTCGTGTGAAATGGGACTGAAGTTTCTTTTCCGGGAATGTTATTGATTGCGGGCATTTGGAACCATTTGTTTTAGTTCTCTTTATCGCCTCAGTGTTTGCTTGTATTATATAGTCGATATCCCTACAGAAAATATGTTATGATTTGCTTCATGCGAAGTTCGTAGTGCGATAACGCTGACATGCTGGAGACCCCGGTCACTTCAGGTCACTGCCACGAGTGTCGGAGGACCCCATCTCTTCTTTGATATTACACGACGACAGCGCTCTTGGACTGTCTTTCACATAACCATCAAATACCCAGGTAAAATCTTCACCTTTGAAAGGATGGCAGACCCCGGCAAGACAGAGACTGAACAAGTCTTCAAGGTGCTCAGAGCACAGAAAGGGAACAAGGTATGGCAGCCGCCGACTTCATGAGCGAAACTGATAACTTGGCTACTATGTCTGCAGATGTGTTTCGATTGCCAGGCTCGAAATCCGACATGGTCAAGTGTTACATTTGGAGTTTATATCTGCCTGGATTGCTCTAGCGTGCATCGCAACATGGGCGTGCACATTAGTTTCGTCCGGTTCGTCATATTTTTAAATTCTGGCATCGCCTTGTCTGTAATACTCAAGAATCACTCGGTGGATGCCATTGTAGATCGACTAATCTTGATAGTTGGCAGCTGAATCAGCTAAGGACTATGAAGGTGGGCGGCAACGCGTCGGCGACGGAATTTTTCACCCGGCACGGAGGTGCTTCCCTGCTGAGTGACTCAGATCAAAAGAAGAAATATTCTGGTAGAGTGGCAGAATTGTATAGAGAAGAACTTGCCAAACGTGTCAAAGAGGATGCTGCTAGGTGCGATATCTCGCTTTTTGGAGTAACACCTCTTAAGTTTACTTGTGACCCGTTTACTTTGCTGTTTTGTGGCTCACAGATTCCCTGCCCGTGTGGTCGTTGATGGCACTGATGCATCACCGTCCGTACTTTCTACCGAATCAAAGGAAGATGAAGATTTTTTCTCATCCTGGGATAAACCTGCCACTCCAAAATCATCAACAAGTCCGTCAACTGGTACTACCCCACCTCCTGTAATTGGCCGCCCTTCTTCTGCAGGCCCTGCAGGCTCACGAACTGTAACGTCGTCGTCCCTTCGCTCCAGCTCCACGCCAGCTGCACGTCCTGCGAAGCTTGGTGCATCTCGCCTAAACTCCTCTAGCACTACCTCCTCGACTATCGCCCCTTCTGCAGCACCCAAAAAGTCTAAACTCGGTGGCCTTGGCGCGAAAAGAGCCGCAGCACCCATAGATTTTGCTGAGGCTGAGCGAAAGGCTGTCGAGGAAGCCGAACGGATCAAACAACTAGGATATGATCGACAGAGGGAGGAGGAGGAAGAACGAGCTAGAAAGGAAGCGGGGAAGGTACAAGCAGCCTCACAGGCCAAGGCCAAGGTTTCCGAAGTGGGGAGTAAGGCAAATGCTGTTCCTGGTAAAGTAGATATACAGAAGGGTAATAGCCAGGACTTAGAGAGACTAGGGATGGGCTTCCGTAAATTGGGCTTTGGTGCTGTTCCCTCCGCTGCCGCTGCATCAACTTCGAAGGCGAGGTAAGCTTTTCCTGGTGTGTCATGTGTTGGCAGCGAATGTGAGTTGACGGACCCTCCATACATAGTTCATCTGGCGCCGACGATGCGCCTACTACAGCGCGTGACAAATTCGGTAACCAGAAAGCGATTTCATCAGACATGTATTTCGGCAGAAAAGATTACGACCCGAACACTGTTTCTGAGGCTCATTCGCGTTTGCAATCGTTCCAGGGAGCAACCTCGATCTCTTCAAACCAATATTTCGGACGTGAAGAAGAGGATGAATTTGAACGGGCTGGTGGTCCTGATGGGGGCATGTTAGGCGATGGAAGTCTCGCCGGCTTTGAAGTAGCTGCAAGAGATGCCATCTCGAGAGTCATGGCAAACCCTGATGTGCAGAATGTAGGAGAGAGTATCAGAGCTGGCGCATTGAAGGTTCGTTTATAACTGATTCACGAGGTTTATCTGTATTCTGACGCGTAATTCAGCTGTCGGATTACCTCGCCCAGATGTCGGAGCGTTGATGATTTTGGACAAATAGTATCGTTTTATCGTAGATATCTTTGTCGCTGGTTTGCCTTGTTTTTCTTCCTTGCCATTGACACATACATGGTTAATTTACAATTCCTGAAGTCGCTTTTTCTTTAGAATGGATTCTATAGTTTGAGAAAATCGTTTACAATTGTTTTCCTCGTCTTTGTACTGTGAGCATAAGTCCGATGGAAAGTTACCGCGATAGATCGGCCTAGTCCGAATATGCACTTGTTTGGCATTGTCCTGTGAAATAAACAAACAAGCACCATTGGAAGGAATTTGCCGAGACCACTGAACACTTTCGAATACCATGATAAGATTTATTCTCGTTCAGGTCTGTTATTTGCAGCCAAATGGATACGGGAAGAGCATACCTTACACATATTCGCCTACATAGAATCGACAGGGCAAGACGCGGTTGTCCAAATGGTATGTACCTTACGACGACGAGGAGAAAGTGAGTGACAGGCAATGAGTAGTTGCATGGTCACGATCGTAACTTTTATTCACTCAGGTCAGACTTCGGGGGGAAGTTCATAGACTGATCGCTCCTCGTGACCAGAAATATCAATCAAATTTTGTGGAGGTATGTTGTAGATTCGGCGAAACGGCAGTATCCAAATATTGATCATATATTCGAACCCATGCTAGTTCAGGAGCCATAAGGTGGTGTACAGACGTTACGCTGGATTGTTCTTTTGTGTTTGTGTCGACGCCAACGATAATGAGCTTGCGTATCTCGAAGCCATCCATCTATTTGTCGAAGTCCTAGGTATGTCTTTATTTTTTACCTAGAGATTCATGTTAAGCTCTATGCCCCAGATGCATTTTTCGATAACGTATGTGAGCTGGATCTAGTGTTTAATTTCTATAAAGTGCGTACCATTCGGTCATAGATGTGTATTTATGACCCACATAAACACATGCATGTAGGTATATGCGATCTTGGATGAGATATTCTTGGCTGGTGAGATTGAGGAAACCAGCAAAGAGGTCGTTCTATCCCGACTTGAGGAGCTGGAAAAGCTGGAATGACGAGACCGGTGCTGCACTAAGTGATTACAGGTATTCAGCCACTTGCTGTCAGCCCAGATATCAGTTATTAACGGTAGCGTTAGCAGGCCTATTTGTTTCTATCATATCAATCATAATCGTAATTGCACTATGAACTACCTTCCCCTTATCTGTCCACCGCCCTCGTAGGTGGATTATTCTCAAGCGTGACGCTGCTTGGGCTCCCGCACCACTCAATTTCTTTTGGAGTGTAGCGAATGAAATCGTTTTGTTTTCGATTGTCACCCATAAATAGCATACTTAAATCCGAATCGTGAGTAAGGTCGCGACTCCGCACCTTCTTGCAGGTACCGAGCGTCTCTTTCTTAGGAGGAATTTAATGCCACGTGAGTTTCTTCGCTCTGTTGACATAGTATTTTTGAGAGAAGCACTGCAGAAATTTCTTCCACGTTTGGAAATCGGATTAGAAACTCCATTCTATCGAAGTACCGTCCCACGCATAACTATTCTAGACACTACGTTATCAAGCTCTTAGCGGAATTTTCATACTTGACATATCTCGTCATGACTCGTTTCGGCCTCAAACCTCGCGACAACTTTCTCCCATCTGTCCATGTGTCGTGCTTCAACAGGTGAGCATATCTTTGCAAATGCAAATGGTTGTGTCGGTATCGACTATGGTGTGGATGTGTGTGTAACTCTCGTGTTTGGCCCTCGTATACTGGCTCCGTGATTTCACTCACCGACATACTGATTCACCATTTTAATGAAATGCGCTGACTGGATAAGAGGCACTTAGCTGGCTTCTCGTGTAATCGTTATGCTGTTTTCAAGACGGCTACAATACTGAAATAACTTCTATCGAGCACTGTTGAGTGGCGTTAGGATTTAGGATGTGCGAAGGCGACAGTTTCGAGGCCGGCGGTCGACATGACATCCAGTGGGGAAATTATCCAAGAGAGCAGGGGTGTGTGAGCAGAGGATGGCCTCAGTAATCCCAGGATTCTTCTTCGCCCCAAAATCACTCCAGAAATGGTAATGGTCAAGAGAAAAAGAACTTCAATGCAGGTTTGTTCGACATGTTTTCTACTGTGGCGTTGTATAAAAGCTGAACTTCTGTGATATAAGTCTTCTGAACCGAACCCATGAAGAAGAAATCCCGGATGGAAAATATTATACACAATCAAAGCAGAGTCCTCCGAAGTCACTAGAACGTGCTAATGGAAGGGCAATAACGACCTGTGAACAATTTCTAGACCCACAGGCGAGGGAACAGGCGGAGAAATTCAAGGCTCGTCCCACCCTGATTTGTCTCTTCGTGTCAGTATCTGACGTGTTGAGTTCTTTAGTTTACAGAAGAACAGCGGTTACTATCGTGGAGCCATTTCCATAATATGCGGGCTAGATTCCAAGCCTGAGTGGAGCTTATTAACCCTTTGCATGGGAGAATTGCACTACCTTTTGGCTTACATGTGAAGAAATCTATAACAAACCTTGGCTTCGGCGTTGTGGCACTATCCGCCGCCGTTGGTGTAGATTCTGCCGGGTCTCCCTCGAGATCTTACTGTGATGGTGGAATAGTATCACTTTTCGCATCAGTACCAATTTCTAATATTTTACAAGCACAGGGTCGACATCATGCTACCCTCTATTTGCATTGACTTGCTTCCTTCGACAGTCGCTTAGGTTCAATTTCAGTGGTAGTTGAAAGGCGATCATAGGGTGTCGAGGTAAATGGTAACTGAAGCATCAGATGATAGAGCACCTTATACCCAAGATTTCGCAATGTGAGAAGAACGTCAATACATGTGAAGATCGAAGTTCGGGGACACTGCTGCCCAATCTGCTTCCGGAAAACCCGATGGCAGCACTACCGTCGTGGTCCTTGCATCGAAGCTGTGAAATTCATGCAGCTCAACGTGGAAACTGGAAAACGATGTAAACACGGCCAGGGTCTGTTATATTCTCGTCGTCAAGTCAAGGCTAACGGTAAAGTCGCACGCGACCGCCACATGATTTCCGCGTGTTTTTCTCAAGCACGCCGATGGCAATTTCAATTGTCCCGATTCTGTCAAAAGTTGTTTCTTCTCAACGCTGCGAGAACACTATTCAGGATACTAGCAAAAATGAGGTCCCGGGCTCACTGATGCGGTGGCGGCACTCAAGATGGACTGTGCAGCCGGGGCGATTGTGCCTATCTGAATCCGGAATGTTCCCTGACTCCATCCCTCAGGTAAAGGGGTCATCTTGCTACTTCTACATAAATATAGTAACTTGGCTATACCACTTCTTGATATTTACCACTTTGTCGCCATCATAACCTAAATTATCGCTTTCCGTGCCACTTACATTTCCAGCTCTCAACGCTCAATATCTTGATTCTGAATTGTAAGTTTATTATGCTTTTAATCCATGTCCACGGTGCTGATACACCATTGTTTGTATCCAAATACAATGCAAGCTCCCTCTAGAAAACAACATAATTGACCACCTTGACTATCTAAACGCTCTCTTGCGCTCCTTCGTGGAGTTTGTGAGTTATAATCCCCCCCCCCCCCTTACATGAGCGCTAGTATAACCATGACTTAGACCATTTTTATGCTTGCTCTCGCATGGATTTGTCGTTAGAGGCCCATCGTCTCATCGTGAAGTATGCGGGAAATCGCACCGACATCTGTAATTTGTGCAGAGTTTCCAGAGGATTCCAGTGTGCTGCGGAACGCGCGCTCTATAATACTATTTACATGAAAAATACCGCTGACACAGTGACACTCTGCAATCTCCTCGCAGATCGCCCACGTCTCGCGATTCTGGTCGAAGCATTGACGATATATGTTGAGGACGAGGAAAACGGCGACAGTGACAGCAGTCTTGTTTCTTCCCACCCCTTCTGGCTCGCTGTCTCTCTCGGGTTGCAGAAGGTTACGAGGCTCCGCTATTTCAATATTCACATGGACCGTAGCTGGGATTCATCAGCCTGGATTCTGAGAAATTGCACCTTTCGTCTGCGCACCTTTCACTGTGATCTCCAGTGGGATGACGATCTTGTTTCGTTTCTCAATAACCAGCCCGATATTGTCGACTTATTCATCGTAGATTATAACGCTTCCAACCGCACCTTTCACTCTGCATCATCCTCCGACACATCTAGCCTATGCCCAGATGCCCTCATTGATCTTTCCATATTGGAATGCACCTTTACAGAAGCTGCCTGTGCACTCGTTCCTAATCGCCCAATCACTCGTTTGAAAACTTGCTTTTCCCGCACCGTACTTCTCGAGAAGCGCGAGGAAATGGCAACATTACTTTCGAAACTTGATTTATCGACGTGCCCTCTAGTCTCGCTCGATATCGCCGATTCCTCCTACTCTGAATATTTTTCCATGGAGCTTCTTAGCTCTGTGGTGGAGCTTCAAAACCTGGTCCAAGAGTTGCACTATCTGGGAACTCTAGTGCTTCCAGTAATTGGTTCCGAGGTCCGAGTTGTCCACTATTTTATCGCATACGTATCAATAACCGTTTGTCCCATAACATTCTATGTTGCTGCTGCTACGTTTTTCGCGTACAAAGCGTCTGAAGTTCTACGGGTTTCTCAGACGCTTTCCTCAACTCCAATGCGTTGAGGTTGATGTCTCTGACTGGGATCCATGTCCTTCTAATCCTGCAGGACTGCGTGCACTGGCTAGCGAGCTGCGTTTATACTGCCCTTCAATAGCACGCACTATATTCGTCATTGATTTTGAAAGAACGGTAATGACATTTGTCCGTGGTCTGTACGCGCTGGACAGTAATGTTATTTCGGAGAATGCGTGGAGAGACGTGTAATTTTCCGTACGATATGGTGAGTTTCTTCACACATGGGTCATCCTATATGTCTGATCCTTCACTGTTAGGCTAGATAGTTAATACCGTGCTCGCTCTATATTTTACAGGGCGTCCTGCCACCCTTTGTACCAACAGTTCGAGATTATCTTGTGATCAACCCCGTCGACGCAATCACAATACACTTCATCTCCGTTCACCGCCTGCCCTTAAGGATATAGCGGTATCCAGCGATAAGCCACTAGTCCATTGATTGGCTGATTACATATGTGTAAGGAAATTCCTCATCTTAATCGCAGTACCTCATGGCAGTGGATCTTCATATAAGTGCATATGGTGCACAACCGGTCGGCACTGCCCCCCTTCAACGGATAACAAGACCGCCTATGCATGCCAAAAGCACATGGGTAAATGCCTCGTGTAATGCTGGGGTCATTAAGAAGGCTGGTCTCTTTTGCGTAACACATTCTCATCCCCAAAACACTGTCATTCTAAGCAATGTTTCGGGCATTTTAACTTTACCCACTTCTCTAAATCGTGAGTGTAAAACTTTTGAGCCATTTATTTTTACGAGTTTGTTTTTGCTCACTACTTGGCTTTTAGGATGGACTCTAACAAATTGCCATACCATAATTTACTTAACAACAATAAATTACAAAATGGCGCAACGTATACAAAGTAAGTTGAGTGTTCTCAGACGCAGGGAATCACAAGACATATTGCTGACATAAATCCAGGTACGCAGCACGTCCGGCCGGTAACCAGAAAGGAGGTCTGCGAGACAGTCAAGCGCACGATGCCGACGCTTTCATCACTTGCTCTGTGATAGATACCGAGGACGTGGTATGTCAATATGAATTCGGCATATCCCATTCTCTCTTTTCAGTTCCGCAGTCCCGTAATGTTCGCGACAGCGCTTGAGCTGTACAGATCGAGCTGAGTTTTCTTTTTGTGACGTAAACATAAAACCTCCAGCTCTTCTGTGCCTTGACTGAATCAAATATTGGCCGGTCTTTCTGGCAATCGTGATTTGAGCGATGTCACCAACGCACTGTCCAGGGACGAGTAAGCGGAAAAAACTTGGTGGATTTCGTCAGGAACAATACTCTCAATCTCAGGCTTTACCGCATTATGCCCCTTTAGTTGTCTCCCTCTCTTTCCGCAACTCATCGTCCGTAGTGATTCCAACGTAAGGTGATGTGGATCTCACCGTCGCACGAAACCCAAGTTGCATTAACTTTATTTGGCAGGCATATGCATGAGGTGCCCTCTCTTTGACTGAACAGTCTCAACTTGGGCTTCGTTCATTTACCACCCATTATTTTTTCATCCACTTCTCAGCATGCGGTTGCAATAATACCGTTCTTTCCGGATTATATAATTGGCTCAAATATTTTCGCCCGTGGGGATGCACAGAGGTACACTGACAGATGTGACAGACTGACAGATGGGCCATTCAGTAGGTTCTGCGTTGTAACATTACGAGTATCTTTCGATTTATTTGCAGTAAATCCTTTGGTTCGACTTGCACTTAGACACTGCCCACAGTGTATATCACATGCAGCCCCCGCTGTGCGCACGACGAGCAGCTGGAAATGGGGTGCTCCATTCTGCATCCCGTTTGCTCCAATAATGACGAGCACTATCTGATTTTCATTACTGTCAAATTGCTGGTCTGCGAGACGAAATTCTGTTACATCGTGGGGATAGGGCTTGCTGAGAGATGCGTCATTTCTACGTCATGGCATCACGATTCAAACATACGTCACTGTCAACCACTACACTTTCCTTATTGGGGCTCCGCTGTTCAGAATATATAAGACCCACTCGCAAAAGCGATCGCTCCCCATCATCCGCACTCTATTATTACTGCAACTGCCTTTCTATCAATCTTCATAAACACAATCAGCTTTTCATAATGTCTAACCAAGAGCCCAGGTCAGTCCATTTTTCCCTCTCACTTTTCTCTGGTTAACATGTAGAAATCGAATATCAGCAAAGCCTCTGGCCAGTATCACTCGTTGAAGGGTACCGTTGTCGAAACTGTAAGAAATGTGTGCCTAAATCCTACAGCAGATATCTGAACGTCTGAAAGGTTGGAGATGTGACTGGCGCTCAATCCTGGAAGCAAACGGGTAAAGAAGAGCATGCCAAGGGCGAGGCCGAGTACAATGCTGCTCAAGCCCAAGGGTACGCAGAGGGCGTGTCAGATAGAGTAGGGGGTTACAAAGACTCGGTTGTTGGAGCTGTGACAGGCGACAAAACTCAGCAGGCTACAGGTAAGTGCAGTGCAATTTCGAAGTGGAGGGTGCTGAGCTGTGTTTAGGAAATGCGAGGAACGAGAAGGGTCAAACTCAGCAGGAAGTTAACAAGCCCCAATGATCGTATAATTGACTGTGCATTTGTATTTAGAAATTATTGTATGGTCGCGTTGTTGGCGATAATCATAATTTTGATGTTAGTGTAGTGTCTCAGTCATTTGTAATACGCATTAACCACGAGTTCACCTGGACATTCAACCTCTAAAACAGAAGGTAAACAACCTTCATCTTGATGAGTCGTGTTGGGGGCGAATACATCAGTTGCATTCATGTCAGGCCGCTCAAATCATTTATGTGACGGATTAGCCTATATCATTTATTTCTGAATTTTTGGGAGTGACTCAAAACAATGCACAAAATACTTTAATTCAGGTACATAGATTGGTTATCTAATGCATGTCTCGATATCTCACCCTGGGGATGGGGGACCAGATTCATGTCGAAGATATTAACGCCAGTGGAGATCTTCGGCTTGGGTACTATTAATTTTGAGTGGTAAATAAGCAACACACGTGTGGACCGGTGAATCGAACGCACTATTGCAGGATCGAAGATCAAAACTTAAACCCACTCTTTTGGCTTCTTCAGCACTTCCAATAGTTTCCCTTCTTCGCTCGCCTCATCGCTTCCCATATCACTCATGTACTCCCATCTTGCGGTTTCGGGCAGACTCATCAGGATACTTTCAATCCGTGCACTGGGTGTTTGCAGTCCAAATTTTGTGCCTCTGTCATACACCAGATTAAATTCGACGTATCGGCCTCTCCTGAGAAGCTGCCATCGTCTTTGGTGATGGTTGGTTGGTGTGCTCATCCTACGTTCCAAGATAGGGAGGTAAGCGGGGATAAAAGAGTTGCCCAAAGTCTGAATGAACGCAAAAATGTCCTCGGCCGATTTAGGCCTGGGAACATCATCTGAGAGTCGTGTATGCTTTTCGCTACTGAGGTCGTCAAAAAATAATCCGCCAATTCCTCGAGTTTCCCCCCGATGAGGTATGTGAAAGTATTCGTCGCACACTTTTTGAATGTTGGGTACAGTTCGCTGCCGTGCTGATTGCAGGCGTTTTTAATGGTACTGTGGAAGTGTATAGCGTCCTCTTCATAAAGATAAGATGGGGTAAGATCGGAGCCTCCGCCGAACCACCAAGCGACCACTTTTCCTGGGTCTACTGATCCTTCCGTCACGGGCTCAGTTATTTCGAAGTAGCGATAGTTTGCATGTACAGTGGGTGCATTGGGGTTACGCGGATGGACGACGAGACTGATTCCCGCAGCGAAGAAGGGCAAGCTGCTAGTGCCATCGTAAGGGATGGAAGAATGATCCGCTCGCATCTGCTTGATTGCAGGGGGCGGTAACATGCCATGCACCACTGAGATATTGACACCAGCTTTTTCCAAGACAGTGTTTGGTTCTTGAGCTGATGGTGATGATGTAGGATCTGGGGATGGAGCTGAGAAAACGCAGGACATGCCCTTCCCTCCTGATCCATGAGCACGAACCCAAGAATCGCGCTTGAAAGGTGGTGCATTTGGGTCGATTTTCTCGAACGCAGAGACTATCTCATCTTGTAATGCGAAGATGTAGGTCTCTACCTTCTTGCGCATGGTCTCTGGTATGGATGATTCAGAAGTTGCCATGATCTATAACTTAGGTCTCATTCGGCCCAACGAATAAATTCCATTTGAAGTCAGTTTGAAGTCAGTTCAGGCTGGTCACATGACTATCCATGACAATTTCAGACGGAAAAATCGGTCATTCAAAGGCAGGTCCCGCCGCGGAAGTTCCCGGCCTGTTGGGAGCCTCTCCAGGGCAGTGTCAGGCAATGAATACAAAGCTATATAACAAAATACAATGCCTGGTCAAGTCCTTGCTGGAAGGTGGTGAATCAGGGTATGAGTTTTGAAGAGTATCGGTATAGGCACAAATCCAAACTAATATTGAACTAGAGAATAATACATCGAGTATGTATTTCTTTATATAGTGAACAGCGATGGTCAGACCGAGAAAGGGAAGGACTAAGAAAGTGGTCTGACCAGCTAGCTAACCAATAAGAAAAGAAGGAGAAAGTGGTCCAATCTATCGTATTTACTAATCGTATGAGAAAACGTATTGGTAAGGGGTGTGTGATTGGCTGTATCAGTAAGCCCATGAGAAGGCGCTGACTCACAACCTTCTTTGCTTATCAATATCCCTCCGAAGTATCCCCAGACATAGCACTGGATCGTTGCTATGTCATTTGGATATCTTCTCGAGGGTCTACAACAAGTCTCCTTTGTTGTAAGTATGATAGGACGTGAGTGTGAATAGAGAATAAGAAGAAAAAGGATAAAAGTAATAAAACACCTGCTGTGATCTCTAGTCCAAGGGCCAGAGGGGTGACAGGGATCGAGTGTCACGACCTGAACAAGAGCGCTAGTTTCTTTTTCATTTTCTTTAATATCTGATCACATGACAGATATATTATGTTAAGCTGCTGCTATTAGCGCGGATAACATAATACTTAGTTATATCAGATCACGTGACCACCACGTGACAAAAGAGCCTAGAACTATTACAAAGAACAGCAGTCAGCGCCTCATGGCTGACTTTCAGAAACGTATATATAGTGAACACCTATGTACATATTTCCCTCAGTTGTTGATTACTTCTCAATCGATTACTTGTGACGCTACTTGTCGATTTAAGGTCTTCATCCCTCCGTTAGTTCGGTATAAGGGATAAGGCTTTTACACAATCAACAACTGCCACGAGTACCGTCCATGAACGTAACAGCAACAATCCTAACCACCATCACCGTCATCATCATCATCATCTTCCTCATCCTAGCCCTACTCAAACGTTCAATCCAAACTACCACTACCCTCCCACTTCATCACATCCCCACTCGCCCCAACACCATTTTATCCTTCTTTCCCGCCAACGTATCACCCTCATCCTCCCAAGACTCTTTTGTCACCATCCCCCTCTAGTTACACTTTTATATCATCATAATCTCTTTGGTGTGGAACCACTGGGATTTTCTCGGTTTTACGTAATTTCATCCTTCGAATTCCTCTGACCAGGCCGCGCATTTGCGTCCGCCAGTCGGGAGAAGAACTGACAGCTTAATAAGCGGGTTACATTGGGACAACCGTTCGGACCCCAATTTATTACGATACTTTTTACATAAAATTCATAAAATACAAAAATAGTTACCTTACATACATAGTCAGTGGTGGACAGAAGAGGACCACCTTGACTCAAAGAGAAAAGATAGACTACTAAGATCTTAGAAAGCGGTGTATCGATCCAGCTTATCACTGGTGAACTCCTTTCTATGCTCAGTAGAGAATTATACATTTGGATAGGAGAGCAACGCGTCTACTCCCAAGATTACGTATTCAGAGGACAATTTCCTCTACCAGAAATAACAACAATCAGAATCCCATCCCCCGTGATTAAATCCGAAACTCCCCCTCCTCCCCAACTCAAATTCGATGTCAAACCTAGAATATCGAGATCTGCCCGAGCCATCCAACAGCACGGACAGCGCCTTCACCAGGGAAATGATGGACTCATTACCCAGAATAGAAACTCCCCCCCCGAAAGAAGCGCAATTGGAAGCATTCGTAAAACAAGAAGTGGAAAAGGCAGTAAGAGCAACATGAATGCTTTACCAATCACAATTAGACGAGGCACTCGAAGAAGTGAGCGTCTTAGAAAGAAAGTTAAAGAAGCAACCGCCACCACCTCCAGAAAGAACGGAGAGAAGTAGAACGGCATTGGAGAAGCCAGAAAACTTCTCCGGAGATAAGAAAAAGTACAGGGCCTTTAGAGAGTCCTTACTTCTACATTTCGAAGATGATGCCATCTACTTCAAAGACGATAGAAAAAAGATAAGCTTCGTGCTATCTTTTATGAAAGAAGGAGAAGCCGCGGCCTTTCGGACCGACTGGCTGGAGAACCGGGTCGACGCTCAACAAATGGGGCTCGACATCACAAACACATACGGAAGCTGGCCGTATTTCGCAGACAAAATGGAAGAAAGATTCAAGGACAGCTTTGAAAAAGAAGCTGCCAAGAATGAAATATTGACCCTAAAACAGGGCAATGAAACCGCCCAAGCCTTTTTTGAAAGGTTTGAAGAAAAGAAAAGATGGGCGGGATACACAAATAGGATAAATGAAGAGTTCCTAATATCTCTACTCAGAAGAAATATGAATAAGCCGCTAATAGATAGGGTGATCTACGGTGGGCATATTCCTAGAGATTACCAAGAGTGGAAAAGAGAACTCATCAGAATGGACTATATTTGGAGAGAAAGAGAGAAAGAAAAGAAAGGTTCCGAAAACGGAAAGAAATCCTATTCGGAACAAAAGAAAGAAGGAGAGAAGAAAAGAGACGGAACAGGGTATACTTATACCGGTAACGGAGAATGAATGGAGGTGGATAAAGCGAAGTTCCGCACCGAGGGACGATGTTACCGATGCGGAGAGAAGGGACATAGAAGCTTCGAGTGCAAAGACGCACAAAAAAAGAAGCCGCAATTTAATGTCCGAGAATTCTTAGAAAAAATGACGAAAGAAGAAAGGGAAAAACTCCTAGAGGGTTTTTAAAAAGGCCAGCGGTACCGCATCGACCGACTGAGCCTAAAGACGTTTCGAATCGATTTCTTCCTTTGACTGTAGATACGTATGACTCAGAATTGTTAAGCTGCAGCTTTAGCGCGGATGACAATAAAACTATTTCCACCCAGACAAAGAAAGAAATCCGAAACAAAAAAGATGCAACTAGAGTAAAAGCGGCGCAGAGTGATGAGACATCCGCAGTTCCGACGGCGGGCAAATCGCTAGAAAGCGCAGCATTTACAATAGATACTAAGATTCCTACACCCGATGCGGCGAACTCTACGGAGGAAAACGCAGCAGAGATTGTAGAAGAAAGGTCAGGAACCCCTTTAAAAAAACCTAGAACAGAAGTTTGGACCCCAGAGTGGGTAGTAGACAGGCTAAGAGACCAAAAGGAAGAAAGATCCATTGGGATTCTGAGTGCCTGGACACATAAAAAGAGAGTGAGAGAAGTAACCCGGGAAACGATAAAAGAAATCAACCGGTTACCAAAAGTAGAAGCGATACAAGCGATCATAGAAATTGCCTCCCCAAAAAAGTACATCAGGGGCACCCAAGGCAATCAAATGAACGTAAAATGTAAGCTTACTACGTTAGATACTCTCCAAACAGAAACAGTCGAAGCACTATTGGATAGTGGATGCACGGGGAGTTGCATCAACTCCCAATTTGTTAAAGACAAAAGATATGAGACAAGGAAGATACCGAGACCTATTCCAGTTTACAATGCAGATGGAACTCTTAATAAGAACGGAGCCATCAATGAATTTGTAACACTGCTCATGGAAATCGACGGACACGTCGAGAAGATACATCTTGCCGTAACCAATCTGGGTAGCGGAAAAATGTTTCTAGGACATGAGTGGTTAAACAAACACAATCCCAAGATAGACTGGAAAGAATCGAAGTTGACCTTTGAAAGATGTCCCGAAGAATGCAGACCGAGAATCCGAATCTCTGATCCAGAGGAGGATCCGGAAATATTCTTTGAGGAACTAGGAGAAGACGAGCGGATGATACAGGTGAACCTCCATAATTTCGAAGATGCCACGATCGACGATCAATATTACCATATCAGAGCCCAAGGCACAATGGCACAGAAGCTAGCAGAAGCCGCGGGCAAGGATCGAAAAGAAGGAGGATTCGAAAAGATAGTGCCAGCACACCTTCATCAATACAAAGACGTATTTGATAAAAAGGAGTTTGACACGTTACCTGAAAGAAGGCAATGGGATCACGCAGTTGAACTTATACCGGGAGATCACTCCCTAGATTGCAAGATCTATCCATTGGCAAGGGGAGAACAAGAAGAACTAGATGCGTTCCTAAAAGAGAATCTAAAATCGGGACAGATAAGACCATCGAAGTCCCCGTTCGCATCCCCATTCTTCTTCATAAAAAAGAAAGACGGAAAGTTAAGACCGGTTCAAGATTATAGGAAGCTAAATGATATCACTATCAAAAATAGATATCCACTTCCATTGATCGGAGAACTAGTAGACAAGTTGAGTGGAGCAAAATACTTCACAAAACTGGACGTAAGATGGGGATATAACAATATCCGAATGAGAGAAGGAGACGAGCATAAAGCAGCGTTTAGGACAAATCGAGGGTTATTCGAACCATTAGTCATGTTCTTCGGACTGACAAATTCCCCCGCCACGTTCCAAACAATGATGAACACGCTTTTCAAAGAGTTGATAGACGAAGGGTTAGTGATCATATATCTAGATGATATTATGATATTCACCAAGGATATAAAAATGCACCGAGCAACGACGCAACGTGTGTTAGAAATCCTAAGAAAGAATCATCTCTATCTTAAACCAGAAAAATGCGATTTCAAACAGACGGAAGTAGAATACCTGGGACTGATCATCTCAGAGAACGAAATTCGCATGGATCCGGTAAAAGTAGAAGGAATTAGCAAATGGCCAGAGTGCAAAAATAAGAAGGAGATACAAGCATTCTTGGGATTTGTAAATTTCTATAGAAGATTCATAGAAGGCTTCGGGGAAGTAGCCAAACCATTGACCAAGTTAACGGGAAAAGAGGATTTCATTTGGGGAAATGAACAACGCGAAGCATTTAAAACACTGAAACAACGCGTAGCTTCAGCCCCAGTGTTAGCTCTCCCAGTACCACATGGCCAATACAAAGTAGAAGCGGACAGTAGTGACTTCGCTATGGGTGCTGTCTTATCACAAAGACAAAAGGATGACTGGAAGCCAATTGCATACCTCTCCAAAGTGTTAAACCCCACAGAACGCAATTACGAGATCTATGACAAAGAACTTCTTGCCATCATGACGGCACTTAACGAATGGAGACATTACTTAATAGACGCAGAAGAGGAATTTGAGATATGGACAGATCATCAAAATCTGCTGTATTTCAAAGAACCAAAGAAGTTGAACAGGAGACAGGCGCGGTGGATGACGGAGTTAAGCCAGTATCATTTCACGATACATCATATGCCAGGAAGGAAGCATATAAAAGCAGATCTTCTCTCGAGGCGATCAGATCATAACAAAGGAGAAAACAACAACGAAGACGTCGTGCTACTGGATGAGAAACTATTTGTAAGAATGACTCTCTCTCCAGAACAAAGACAAAAGATCGCAGACAGCCAAGAGAGAGAGCTAGAGATCTCAAAATGGATCGCAAAGAGAAAAGGAAATGTGGATGAACTGATAAAACAGATGAAAGGAAAGATAGAGAGGAGAGAGGATGGATGGCTAGACGAAGATGGTTGCATAGTATTCAAAGGCAGAATCTATGTACCAAAAGATGCCGCCTTAAGGGAAGAAATCATCCGACGAAACCACGACTCCGTCATTGCAGGTCATCCAGGAAGATATAAGACAAAAGAGCTAATCACTCGACAATACTGGTGGCCCTATATGGACAGAGATATCACGAGATACGTTGTCATGCACCAAAGTTGATTGGTAGCATGGACAGGTGTCAATAACGAAGCGAATATTCAAAAAAGACTCGCCTTTGCGCCACACAGGCACAGTGCCACGTGGAATAGTAATTAATATAGCCCTTTTTGAACTTGTGGCTGATCAGCACCACCTCTATTAGGCAATCCAGTCACGCTCACCTTTGCTTTTCCATCCGGTACTTTCCGTGTTTCGGCATTTCGGCAAATTTTTGCGTCGCCACTGGCTACACATTGCATTGCGCCCTCGCTTTTGTCGTTTCCCTTACTCCCCTTCCTTTGCCTAGCCCCACCATGGGCCCCTTCCTCTCCTTTTTATTCTCACCTGACGGTCGTTTCTGGGTCCCCATTCTAATCCACTTGTTTGTCACCTCCACCCTCCTCCTCCTCATCTTATTTGCACCCCCACCATTTCTGATGTCACCACTTCCTATCTGCTTCCGTCGCCAATCCGTTGACTACCACGTGCCACTGCTGATATCAGCAAAGCCCCGGCGGCCGGTCCAAATAGGGCAACAGGTCCATCTTCATGACGTCAATCTGCCATCATATACTATCAAAACATCGGTCGCTCGTCTTGCCTGGTTGGAGCGTGGGTGGGTAGTTTTTGAGCTGGAAAAGGTTCATCCCCTTGCGTCGCCCATGTTCATCGCTGTCCCATTCACTTGGGTACACTTATCATTTGTCCATTGTCTTCGCTACAGCTACACCTACCACATGCTGCCTGGGACTCACTTGTTCCAAATTGGAACTACTCCTCTCCCTCCCTCGTTTGATCAGGTGGTCCAACATAACCAGTCCATTGGTAAGGCCATGGAACTGTCGGATTTGGACTAGGTGGTGGACTGGTGGCTCCAGTTTCTTTTTTTTAGCAGAACATTCATTTACAGTGCGATTATTTTTGATTTTTGAATCATTTTTATGGACACATATTTTTTTAGAATGCCTGACTGACAATAAAGGAACTGTGTTGATACTGATAGTGTTTTGCCTTGCCCTTTTTTTACTGCATCTTCCCATGACATCATGATTTTCCTGCTCTCTTTTTGCTATTGGACTTTACTTTATGGCTGTACAAACCTGTGACATTACTCACAGCATTTATTGTTCTATCCCTTTCTTTTCCTTTTTTTTGACAATCTTATCCTGTACTACCTACGCAGGATTTGTCAGCGTACATTCCTTCCTTCATATTCTTTCTCATTCTTTTTGCACAGCTATACTGTGCATAGCCTACTTTTCTTTTACTATATAAACCCCTGTATTTTACCTTGTAAAATAGAACAAGAACTCCAATCCAGACTTCTTCTCTAATCTCAAGTTCACTACTCTCTGCTACTTGTGATCCAGTGTGGTCACAACACTTCCCACTTCTACCACTGTTAACTGCTGTCATCGTCACTCGTCACTTTTTGAAAGTGATTGTCATCCCCTTCGATTAGAGTCCTTCTGAGCACTACAGTTTGTGCGTCAGGAGCCTGCTATCACTGGGAACCTCGTCATATTGTCGTTCTCAAACCTACCTTGTGCTACGATTAGCAAGGTAGTGCTCGTCTATACTCGTCACCAAGCCTCTATCCTTCTATAAATTCAACTATCCCTCCTCCTCAAAACCCACACTCATACACCTCTGGGTTTTACTTTGAAGGATCTTTATACGTACCACCCCACGAACAACCAGACCACTCCACTGTTCTAGGAGGCAAAGCCCATAAACAAGTTCCGTGGAATCTGGGAGGATTGTGTGTTAGTTTGTTTTGTGTGTGGTTTTCTAACTGCAGTTCTCATCATCGACAACGTAGATGGATGCGAAGTCTGCCAAAGAACCAAGACAGACCATAAAAAGAAAGCAGCACCGCTCCATCCAAACGAGATCCCGGATAAACCGTGGCAGATCATATCGGACCATTACCAGAATCAAATGGATATAACATGATAATGGTAATAGTGGATCGGTTTACAAAAATGATCAAGGTAATTCCCACGCAGATGGAAATCACATCGGAAGGAGTGGCATGATTATTTAGAGATCATGTATTCAGAAACCACGGCATACCCGAAAAGATCATCTCAGATCGAGGACCGCAGTTCGTTTCAAAATTCATGAAAGATCTACATACACTTCTTCAGATAAAAGCAAACCCATTGACGGCTTGGCACCCACAAACGGATGGACAAACGGAGAGGATCAATCAAGAGATAGAGCAGTATCTCAGAATCTTCGTAAACCATAAACAAGATGATTGGGCAGAATGGCTTACCCTAGCAGAGTTCTCTTACAATAACAAACAACATTCTGCAACGGGATATAGCCCGTTCTACTTGAATCATGGACATCATCCGAGAACACAGGAAGTAGTGAAAGTGGGGGTAAAGAACGAAAATGCGGAAGATTTCGTAAAAAGAATGACAGAAACGAGGAAGAAAGCAGAAGAGTCGCTGCAAAAAGCAGCTGAATAGATGAAGAGGCAGTACGATAAGAAGAAAAGAGAAGCGGTGGAATATAGAGTAGGAGATAAGGTGTATGTGGAAGCAACAAATATCTCAACGGATCGACCAGCTAAGAAACTGGACGATAAGAGACACGGCCCGTTCGAGATACTGGAAAAAATAGGCGAATCAGCCTATAAACTAGCATTACCACCGACATGGCGACCCATTCATCCAGTCTTTAACGAAATAAAACTCACGCCATATAAAGAACCACAATTCCCTTCCCAACAGAAACCTAAACCGATACCGCCGGTAATAGTAGACGGACAAGAAGAATATGAAGTCGAAGAAGTTCTAGACTCACGTCTAAAAAAGGGAAAATTGGAATATTTAGTACATTGGAAGAATTATCCAAAAGAGGAACGCACATGGGAACCCGAACAACACCTAAACAACTCACCAGACAAAGTAAAAACATTCCACGATAACAACCCTAGTGCACCCCGACGGATACGATTCCAATTACATTTCCAACCGTTCGAAAACTTCACAACGACTAGAGTCCGAAAACAATTGTTCAATTGGGAAAACGGAAAAATGGACCCCTACTTTCGAGACGAAAGTCCTAAGGAGGGGGTAATGTCACGACCTGAACAAGAGCGCTAGTTTCTTTTTCATTTTCTTTAATATCTGATCACATGACAGATATATTATGTTAAGCTGCTGCTATTAGCGCGGATAACATAATACTTAGTTATATCAGATCACGTGACCACCACATGACAAAAGAGCCTAGAACTATTACAAAGAACAGCAGTCAGCGCCTCATGGCTACTGCATGTTATATCAGTCAGCGCCTCATGGCTGACTTTCAGAAACGTATATATAGTGAACACCTATGTACATATTTCCCTCAGTTGTTGATTACTTCTCAATCGATTACTTGTGACGCTACTTGTCGATTTAAGGTCTTCATCCCTCCGTTAGTTCGGTATAAGGGATAAGGCTTTTACATCGAGTCTGTTAACCACAACATGACGGGAATGCGATAAGAAAAATCGATTCCTCACAGGCAGGTTCTATTATAAGGGGCATTGTATGTGCTGTACATGAGCTCAAGTCGGGTGGCCATACCGAACTTGTTAATTTCCGTGTGCTTCTGAAGCTTCTGATATGGATCGGTTTGCTGAAGCTGGTAAGCTAATTACTCTAATATCTAGTAAAATCCTGAGCTACCAATAAACAGATCATGATGATTTGTTGTCCGCTGATTTTTGCGTGGTCCCTGCTCCTATGGCTGGTGAATTTCTTGAGAATCTAGTTTTTCTTGAGGTGGGGTTAGATCAAGCCATCCTGGCTTGGAAGTATCCACTGGAAAGAATACAGCCTCCCCTCTACTTCAAGGCTACTTTCCAGATTGACTGTCAGATCTTGAAGAGAGGATGTTACAACATCAGCTTGTTTGACAACAACAACCCTGAAATCGTGAAAAACCCCTTGGCTTTTTGTTGGCTAAAGCCTGTGGCCTTTGAAGGATCCAGATTCAATGAATGGCAACAACTCATGCAAGCCATTCATGCAATTGTAGCCAGAGTAGGTGAAGATACTTGCACATCAGAGTTACTGTGCAGTCATCCGGAGTACAACACTAGCATTTTGTGTCTTGGCCCCTTAACTCCCCAGATGATAATCATCAGGTATGTTCTTACTTTGAAAATGCTTTCGGATATTACTACCTAATTTCTAGACTTCATGCGCAGATCAATTGCCCATTTACAATTCTCGTGGCAACCACTGTCCAGCGACTCTCTTGGACAATGTTCCATTCTCCAAGCCCGTCTCCGTGATCTTCACACTTTGGAGAGCTCCTGGTATTCACAACAGGAGCATGGTTGGTGCCAGATTTTATTCAATCCGCAAGATCAGTGTGAAAGCTACACCCTATGCCAAGTTAACGGAAGTGCAACTATCAAATCGCCAACAGAGTCAAGAACAACAGTATAAAGATTAAATCAACGACTGGGGAATATGTACATGAAGAGGGCTGTATATATACTAGCTAACATGAGGCACTGACTGAGCAACATGCGTAGGGCATAAGGTGCTTGGTAAGTATCTACATCATAGGTCACATGACTGGTCAGGTGACTAGATAAGATAAGATCAGCTTAGATAATATAATGATGTGACTATTCTAGATAAGGGGAAACTATAGTAATAACGTCTTCGTCTTCAGTTTCGGGTTGAACTAGGATTTGAATTTGACATCGTGACAATCAAGCCTTCATTTCTATCTAGGCTACTGACTGTTTAGATTTTTTTCAGACCCTTATATATCACTTGTAACAACCAAGAGTTTCTTACTCTGGCGCACAACTTGGACAAGCAAAGAGAGAGAGAGAGAGAGGGAGGGATCACCCCTCAGGTTTCAACAGTTTTGTTGTGCTAGACAACAGGAGGACTCGCTGAGTCCTTCCCCATATATTGCTCCTGTATATATACTAAAATACATGAGGTACTGTACAGTTGTAAATAGAGTTTAAAGTCCGATGTTTAGCATGTGACCGGTGTCATGCACCAAAGTTGATTGGTAGCATGGACAGGTGTCAATAACGAAGCGAATATTCAAAAAGACTCGCCTTTGCGCCACACAGGCACAGTGCCACGTGGAATAGTAATTAATATTGCCTTTTTCAAACTTGTGGCTAATCAGCACCACCTCTATTAGGCAATCCAGTCACGTTCACCTTTGCTTTTCCATCCGGTACTTTCCGCGTTTTGGCATTTCGGCAAATTTTCGCGTCGCCACTGGCTACACATTGCATTGCGCCCTCGCTTTTGTCGTTTCCTTTACTCCCCTTCCTTTGCCTAGCCCCACCATGGGCCCCTTCCTCTCCTTTTTATTCTCACCTGACGGTCGTTTCTGGATCCCCATTCTAATCCACTTTTTCGTCACCTCTACCCTCCTCCTCCTCATCTTATTTGCACCCCCACCATTTCTAATGTCACCACTTCCTATCTGCTTCCGTCGCCAATCCGTTGACTACCACGTGCCACTGCTGATATCAGCAAAGCCCCGGCGGCCGGTCCAAATAGGGCAACAGGTCCATCTTCATGACGTCAATCTGCCATCATATACTATCAAAACATCGGTCACTCGTCTTGCCTGGTTGGAGCGTGGGTGGGTAGTTTTTGAGCTGGAGAAGGTTCATCCCCTTGCGTTGCCTATGTACATTGCTGTCCCATTCACTTGGGTACACTTATCTTTTGTCCATCGTCTTCGCTACAGCTACACCTACCACATGCTGCCTGGGACTCACTTGTTCCAAATTGGAACTACTTCCCTCCCTCCCTCGTTTGACCAGGTGGTCCAGTACAACCAGTCCATTGGTAAGGCCATGGAACTGTCGGATTTGGACTAGGTGGTGGACCGGTGGCTCCAGTTTCTTTTTCTTCAGCAGAACATTCATTTACAGTGCGATTATTTTTGATTTTTGAATCATTTTTATGGACACATATTTTTTTAGAATGCCTGACTGACAATAAAGGAACTGTGTTGATACTGATATTTTTTTGCCTTGCCCTTTTTTTACTGCATCTTCCCATGACATTATGATTTTCTTGCTCTCTTTCTGCTATTGGACTTTACTTTATGGCTGTACAAACCTGTAACATTACTTACACAGCATTCATTGTTCTATCTCTTTCTTTTCCTTATTTTGACGATCTTATCCTGTACTACCTATGCAGGATTTGTCAGCATACATTCCTTCCTTCATGTTCTTTCTCATTCTTTTTACACAGCTATACTGTGTATAGCCTACCCCCCTTTTACTATATAAACCCCTGTATTTTACCTTGTAAAAACAACAAGAAATCCAACCCAGACTTATTCTCTAATCTCAAGTTCACTACTCTCTGCTACTTGTGATCCAGTGTGGTCACAATACTTCCCGCTGCTACTACTGTTAACTGCTATCATTGTCACTCGCCACTTTTTGAAGTCATTGTTATCCCTTTCAATTAGAGTCCTTCTGAGCACTACAGTTTGTGCATCAGGAGCCTGCTATCACTGGGAGCCTTGTCACCTTGTTATTCTCAAACCTACCTTGTACTACTATTAGCAAGATTGTGCTTGTCCATACTTGTCATAAAAACCCTATCCTCTATATTTCAACTACCCCTCCTCCTCAAAACCCACATCCACATATTCTTGGGTTTGACTTTGAAGGATCATTGTACATACCACCCCACGAACAACCAGATCACCCACTGTTCTAGGAGGCAAAGCCCACAAACAAGTTCTGTGGAATCTGGGAGGATTGTGTGTTAGTTTGTTTTTGTGTGTGGTTTTCTGACTACAGTTCTCATCATTGACACCGCTGACCTAATTACAGATGTGTTTCTTGAATTCAACAGGCGCACACGGAAGGCAGAATCATCTGAGTATCTGAAAACATTATCTGGTAAGCACTTTTAACTTTCAGGGCTTTACCATGTCACTTACAATGTGTTTGACCCCCACAGGAGTTTGCATTTTGCTTGATAGCACATTCAAAGTCGCAAAGAAGGCAACAGTAGTGGATTCAAATAAGTCAAGGACAAATCTAATGAAGGGAGGAATTTTGAGTGTCATAAATGAGAAGAATGAAATACTAATGTGGGTGAGTGCATTTGGACCTGATCTGAATGATATACTAATCCAATATATATTGTAGTGTTTCTGTCTCAGTCAAGCAACTGCTGAGATTGCAGAATCACTCATGGGACTGAAGTGTCAATATTCCCAACTCAGTATTCCCCTTCCAGAAATGGTGGTGGTCAACAACTGTTGCCATGTCAGAGGCGCTGTGTTTGAAAGTCCTCCCTGATACTCATGTCGTCCTAGATGTGTTTCATTTTATGATGTGGTATGTCCTTTCTTATATACTACATTGCTACCTTGCAGAAATTGCTACTGGCAATAAGTGCAAAGTTAGTGCTGATAAGTCTCTTGAGGCTTATAAGGCTGCTTCTGATATGTGTTGTGTGTTAACAGCAATGGGTGCAAAGTTAGCGCTGACAAGTCTCTTGAGGCTTACAAGGCTGCTTATGATGCTGACATCCTCTCAATCTTTAGGTATCTTGCTACACTTCTAAATTCAACCCCGAAAACCGAGTGTGCTGAAGTTGCACAGGATATTAGTAATGCCATCTTCAAAACACACACTGGTGCAGGAGAAAGAGCAGAGTATAACTCAAAGGAAGAACAAGAGGTCCGCATGCAACTGATGTTCGAGAAATGGCTAGGGAAAAGAGTCTGGACAGCAGCATCAACCCAAGTAAGTTAATCCTGGCTATTAGTATATTACCTATCTCGCTGATCACACTTCAGGTTCATGCAGGTCAGCTTGAACACATCAAAAATGGCTGCTTGATGCAAACACAGCAAGATGTGAGTTCTGATGGAAGCCGTATTGAGGGGTCTCACAAAGGCTGGAACCATCTCATGCGCTCCTTCATGAGTGGCATTGAGATGTTCAAAGCTTTAGGCCATGACCATGTTCTCCGCCGGAACATCTGTATCAACTACAACTCAAAGAATCCCAATGACTTTATCACTTTGACTCATGGCACCTACCATCTCCAACTTGTCAATAACATTTTGAAGCTGTGGAATATTCTTGTTGGAAAAGAAGCCCTTCACAAGAACGGGAAAAAGCACCTCCTTTGAGCTGTCTTACTCCCTCCCAACTCACAGGAACAATTTGGCCTCGCCGCTGTCGATGATGAGAACTGTTGTTAGAAAACCACACACAAAACAAACTAACACACAATCCTCCCAGATTCCACGGAACTTGTTTATGGGCTTTGCCTCCTAGAACAGTGGAGTGGTCTGGTTGTTCGTGGGGTGGTACATATAAAGATCCTTCAAAGTAAAACCCAGAGGTGTATGAGCGTGGGTTTTGAGGAGGAGGGATAGTTGAATTTATAGAAGATAGGGGCTTAGTGACGAGTATAGATGAGCACTACCTTGCTAATGGTAGCACAAGGTAGGTTTGAGAACAACAAGGATGACGAGGTGACGAGGTTCCCAGTGATAGCAGGCTCCTGACGCACAAACTGTAGTGCTCAGATGGACTCTAATTGAAAGGGATAACAATGACTTCAAAAGTGGGAAGTGACGATGACAGCAGTTGACAGTGGTAGAAGTGGGAAGTGTTGTGACCACACTGGATCACAAGTAGCAGAGTAGTGAACTTGAGAGTAGAGAAGAAGTCTGGATTGGAGTTCTTGTTCTATTTTACAAGGTAAAATACAGGGGTTTATATAGTAAAAGAAAAGTAGGCTATGCACAGTATAGCTGTGTAAAAAGAATGAGAAAGAACATGAAGGAAGGAATGTATGCTGACGAATCCTGCGTAGGTAGTACAGGATAAGATTGTCAAAAAAAGGAAAAGAAAGAGATAGAACAATGAATGCTGTGAGTAATGTCACAGGTTTGTACAGCCATAAAGTAAAGTCCAATAGCAAAAAGAGAGCAGGAAAATCATGATGTCATGGGAAGATGCAGTAAAAAAAGGGCAAGGCAAAACACTATCAGTATCAACACAGTTCCTTTATTGTCAGTCAGGCATTCTAAAAAAATATGTGTCCATAAAAATGATTCAAAAATCAAAAATAATCGCACTGTAAATGAATGTTCTGCTAAAAAAAAGAAACTGGAGCCACCAGTCCACCACCTAGTCCAAATCCGACAGTTCCATGGCCTTACCAATGGACTGGTTATGTTGGACCACCTGATCAAACGAGGGAGGGAGAGGAGTAGTTCCAATTTGGAACAAGTGAGTCCCAGGCAGCATGTGGTAGGTGTAGCTGTAGCGAAGACGATGGACAAAAGATAAGTGTACCCAAGTGAATGGGACAGCAATGTACATAGGCAACGCAAGGGGATGAACCTTTTCCAGCTCAAAAACTACCCACCCACGCTCCAACCAGGCAAGACGAGCGACCGATGTTTTGATAGTATATGATGGCAGATTGACGTCATGAAGATGGACCTGTTGCCCTATTTGGACCGGCCGCCGGGGCTTTGCTGATATCAGCAGTGGCACGTGGTAGTCAACGGATTGGCGACGGAAGCAGATAGGAAGTGGTGACATCAGAAATGGTGGGGGTGCAAATAAAATGAGGAGGAGGAGGGTGGAGGTGACGGAAAAGTGGATTAGAATGGGGATCCAGAAACGACCGTCAGGTGAGAATAAAAAGGAGAGGAAGGGGCCCATGGTGGGGCTAGGCAAAGGAAGGGGAGTAAAGGAAACGACAAAAGCGAGGGCGCAATGCAATGTGTAGCCAGTGGCGACGCAAAAATTTGCCGAAATGCCGAAACACGGAAAGTACCGGATGGAAAAGCAAAGGTGAGCGTGACTGGATTGCCTAATAGAGGTGGTGCTGATCAGCCACAAGTTCAAAAAGGGCAATATTAATTACTATTCCACGTGGCACTGTGCCTGTGTGGCGCAAAGGCGAGTCTTTTGAATATTCGCTTCATTATTGACACCTGTCCATGCTACCAATCAACTTTGGTGCATGACACCGCTTCAAATAATACCATTACTTTTGGCGGCCTTCTGGAGACCAAGACTGAAGATGAGCCCGACAAACTCAAGGATGGGCAAGACTTATTACAGCAAGCATTTGAGAGCACTTTAGAACTGGCAGGTATCCTTTGGGATATGAATATTACCCGGCACTTGCTCTTGTCCCTGAAGGTTTGACCTCGACCATTGGCTCTAGCAATGGGGGAAAATAATTGAACATCATTGTTGACCTCACAGCTGATGAAGTCAGGCTGGCAAAGCGCAAAATAATTGATGACAATGTCTCACCAGAACTTCCATCAAAGAGGAGCCACACTAGCAATATCTCTGTTTTGGATACTGAGGTATGTTCTATTTTTTCTAACCTTTTTTACTATACTAAACCATAGATATTTGTACAGCAATGCACACAAAAGACTCAGAAGGGCGACATTATCAGCGTGAAGATGCCCCCAGTATCTACCACCACCACAGCCTTGACAACTCAATTCCCCGCTATGACAGCCCCTGCTGCTGCCACAACGACCCTTGAAACTTTCTTCAAATCTCAGAACCCCAAGGTGGCAATTTTTACTGAAAAGGCATCCTGTCCCCAGCATTCTGGGCCATCCTCCAATCCTGTGACAACTGAGGCTCTTATACAGCCACTCCCACCTCCAGGGGTTCCAGGCCTTTCTTGCTTGCAACACTTATTTGCAATCACCACAGGCGTCGACCCCCGTGCTCTTACGATCTCCTCTGACAAGGAAATTTTCGCCTTCATGGACTTACAATACGAACACAGGTGGACCTCATTTGGTATGACCTCCCAAAGGTGGGTAGAAACTACAGAATTATACAATGTCAAACTTGAAGAAATTGGCCGGAGGGATGGTATTTTTGTCAGTAAGAAGCATCCTGATGCCCTCTTTGAAAAACTGGGAGATATAGAAGAAAAAGTGATTGAAAGAATTCGTACTGGTAACTATACCTATAAGTTTTGCAATTCTCTTTCTTCATTACTTATGCTTGCTGATATGTTTATTGTTGTAAACTAGCTAGGAAAGGCTCCAAGGACTTCTGGAGGAAACACTGCACCGTTATCTTATTTGTCAAGATCGAACCAAATGCAAAAGAAGGTGACATGAAACTGGTGAGTGCCGTCATGTCTTCTCTATTATCACTGAGCTACTCATAGCTGTAACAACCAAGAGTTTGTTACTCTGGTGCACAACTAGAACTAACTATAGAGATAAATGATGAGGGAGTGGTTACCCTTTAGGCTTCAACAAGTTAGTTGTGAGGATACAACAGGAGGACTCGCTGAGGAGTCTCCTTGATCTATTGGGGTATATATACTACTACAGGTTTGTTTGTACATATGTACTATACAGTTGATGAAGGCAGTGGCTGATGATGTCAGAGGGCGCAGCCCATGTGACCAGCTCCACTGCGTGAGAGACTTGTATCTAAAATAGAAAGAAAAGCAGCGCCGCATGAGAAAGTGGAGTTTGAACAAAAGGGAAAGTGCTGCATGGCATGGAGTGTGAAAACTACAGTAAAAGGTTAAAGAGGAGAATGAAAATTAAAGGTCCGAAAATGTGTTATTGTAACAATAGCTCGTGTTTCATACAGAGGAAAGTCCAAACCTGCAGTTGCTGCCCCACTATCAAATACCCTGAGGCCCCCGGCTCTTCTGAAAACCACAAAAAGTGTTGCTGTTCTGATGGTGTGGCCGTCAAAGTGAAAAATGACACTGCACCTCCCTGGCCACAACCCAGGGGCATATTCAGCGCCAGCTCATTTTTTCATCCATTCAACTTCTTGGCCACTGTTTGCGAGATGTACGAAAGGGTTATTGTCCAGGGTGGGGATGGTGAGGACTGCACTCTGTGAAGCACTGGCTAACATGCTCAGCCAGTGCATCATCACCAGTCCAAACGGCAGCATTTTATTTTGTTTATATGACAGGTTTACCATCACCCCCGCTATGCCAGACTTTGTCATCCAACACAACGGCAGAAATTACCTCAAGATTGATTGTTTGACAGACCAGGCTTGATGGGCTTGTCTTGGTCTGTCCATTGCTTCTCTTACTCGTTATTCACACTATGCAGTTTACTATGCTGTTTACCGTTCTATGATCTCCATTGGTGTATAACTACTACTACTCTATGCCTATGTACATGCTTACCTTTTTTCCCTCCCTCTTTTCTCTTCCTTTTTCTCTTGCCATTCTTGTGTCATTTGTTGTTGCTGCCATTGTTCCTATTATAGCTAGTTCCTATCTTTGTATGGTATCATTGCTTGCCAACCCAGACAATATTATTGTCAGCTTTTGTTGCCCGACTGTGATTTTGAGAAGTTGAGGGGATGTACCTGTGTATTTGTACTGTGAATGCCTGGCCCTAGCAATTTTTTGAGTGTGGAGTAAAATCAAACGGTCGGGGTGACGTGACAAATTAGTCAATTGGTTAATCAATACGTGCCTTGGAATTGTCAGGCAACAAATACAAAGCTATATAACAAGAACAGATGTCTGGTTAAGTCCCTTGAAAAGGGCGGTGAATCGGAGTACTGAAGTTGAAGAGTATTGGTATAGGCGCAAATCCAAACTAATATTGAACTAAGGAATGATACATCGAGTATGTACTTCCTTATATAGTGAATAGCAATGGTCAGACCAAAAGAGGGAAGAGTTAAGAAAGTGGTCTGACCAGCCAACTAACCAATAAAAAAAAGAAGGCAAAAGTGATCCGATCTATCATATTTACTATTTGTGTGAGAAAGAGTATTGGTAAGAGATGTACAATTGGCTATATCAGTAAGCCCATGAGAAGGCACTGATTCATAGCCTACCTCACTTATCTATATTCCTCCGAAGTATTCCCAGACATGGCATTGGATTATTGCTATGTCATCTGGATATCTTCTTGAGGATCTACAACAGTTCTCCTTCGTTGTAAATATGATAGGATGTGAGTATGAATGGAAAATAAAAAGGACAATAAAAAGGATAAAAGTAATAGAATGCCGATTGTGATCTCTAGTCCAAGAGCGAGAGGAGTGACAGGGAAAGAGTTGGATAACCACGACATGACTGGAATGCAATAAGAAAAATTGATTCCTCACAGGAATGGTGAAGTTGCCATTT